TACCACCGGTACACGTCTCCGTAGCTCTGGCACTAGAGTATCCACGTGGCCCTGACTCTGAGTCGGAGTCTGAGACTGTCATGTAGCCGCGTGCACGTGCACTCGTGTCGCGACGGTGCTTTCGTGGTGCGGGTACTGGCATGGATGCGTGTGGGTGACTGGGTGACGTAGTGCTCGGGATACCGCTATGCCTTGTGCTTGCGGTCAACTCGCAGCGCTCACGTCTCTCCTCGTGGACCTGTGCAGGCTGTGGTTGCACTACCGGTAAGCCTTGTACTTCTCTAACAGGCTCAGTGACACTACCAGACTTCGGCGCTCGTCGTTGTCTGGCACGGCTTTCTCGTAGGGCATACTCCGCTGCGAATAGCCGCTGCCTCAGCTCTGTCATCGATCGGGCCAGCTCATCGTTGCGTTCTCGTTCTGCCGCAAGATCCCTGGCTTGCTTGTCGCACGCTAGCTCGACCATTGCCCTACTCGCCTCAGCTTCCTCTAGGTTCGTCTGCAGTGCGTAAGCGTCTCGCTGGCGCCGCTTCTCGACGATCGCGGATTCATCGATCATCGTCTGAAGCTGTAGTAGTTGCTGCTGATACGCAACTTCCTTGGCCCGGAACTCACGTTCTACACTGCGTAGACTACTGCCAGTACTGGATCTCGGCAGTTGCTGACGCTCTACGAATGTCCTATCCCAGGGCTCGGGCCCTATTCCCCGCTGAATGGACTCGCTTAGATAGTCAGCGTAAGTGGCATCGGCTACAACAGCAGTGGTGTGTTCAATCGTTCTTTGAAGTACCTGTGTCTGTGCCTGTGCCTGCGGTTCTGGTTGATGAAACGGAGGTTCATTCAGGTGTTCATGAATCGGATCTTGGACTACGCATGGCGGTGCCTGGTAGTGGTAGCTGTGTGCCGGAGTGAATGCACGGACATGCTGGACATCTGAGTCCCTCTCTACATGTGCGTCTATCACTACGTCTACCGGTGGTGGTGTGCTAGCCTGACAGGCCTCTGCATGGTGTAGACCTACTGCTGATTCTGACGTTACGTGCGTAGATCTATGGGAAGCCTCTCCTTCTGATGGCTGAGATTCTACACCGACTACCGTGTGTGACTCTGTTGGTGTTGGAACAGCAACTGAACTAGGTGCAACTACATCATCGTCAAAGTCGATAAGCGACGTATCTTGGGCTGCAACCGCCTCATGCAACTCACCCGCTTCCTGGAAGACTTCTTCTCGCATCGCAGGAGAGCTGGAGGTCTCAACGGACCTTTCCCTCAACGTCCCTTCGGCTTCCGACATCGCCTGCTCCGTCAACCGGGCGATTTCCAGCCGCTTTTCCGCCACAGCCTGTTCCGCTTGTAACACGGCTATCCTGGCGCTGAGCCTGTCAGCTGAATTCGCGGTGACGGCTTGGCTCCTACTTTCGGTCATCCTGTCATCTCCACCACTAGCACCAGCGTAGGACTGGGTGTCTGTGTACCCGAGTTTTGGCGCTGCGACGCCTTTCGTCGTGCGCTGACTCCGCCTGAGCTTCTCCATCGTGGACGTGATCCGGCTCGAAGGACCACTATGTTCCGTATTCCCCGGAACCAGGTTGCATCAGTACCGTAACTGTAATACCGATTGCGGATACTTTCCGAACCCACGTTCAACAATGGAGACAAACTTTACTGGTTCGAGTTCTCACTCTCAAAACACCAACTCCCTCTTGGATTATCTTGGATGTACTCTAACAATGCCCTAGCAAAAACCTATCAAGAACCTAGCTAGAACTGAGAAGTAACTTAGAATTGGATTCAACCACTGTTCACCATGAACTCTTTCCAACACAAGGAAAATAAAAACAACAACAAAACCAAAGCTGCTAGAGCACTGCACGCGGAAAAACTCTGCACGTGAGATGCCGTGCAGCGGGAAAAAAGCCATACATCTGAAGCATATGTCTCGTGCACAGGAGCACAAGCCCGGGAAAAACAGGGTTGATGATCACATGATTTCACGCATGAGTGATACCATACATGACCTACAGACACATAAATCATACAGTCATGCATGGCTACAGGTGTAGTGCTCGATGAATGCACGCAAAGTGCAGTCCTGTAATGTGACCTGTTGAAACCTGAACGGTACCAGGCGTCACCACGACTCCGACACTCCCTTCCTACTTGAATCCCAATCGAACTCGCGCACTTCCACCGAAACTGGGTGACTGCGCCCTACTAGATGGGGATTTGTATGCAAAATGTCACTAAAAGCGCTATTTCGTTCTTATAAAAGCATGGATGACCGCGATCGGCCCATATGTTTTAGTCTTTTGGACGCTGAGTCGACTGGTTTTGGTCCGAAAAGGCTGCGATGCAGCGTTCCTCCTTTATTCCCAATCGAACATGGCTGAACAAGCGGTCACGCGCTCCTGCGTACACCAGTCACCTGGTCACCGTGCCTGCAGGGTACAACTTACTAGCCTGTTTGACCTTTTTTGGGTGCAGACCAGTCACTCGAGTTGAACTCGAGTTGAACCTTGGTGTGAAAGTTGTCGCCTGCTGGCGTGGTGACCAGGTGATTTGGGCACCCAGGAGCACGTGACCGCTTGTTCAACCATGTTCGATTGGGAATAAAGGAGGAACGCTGCATCGCAGCGTTTTCGGACCAAAACCAGTCGACTCAGCGTCCAAAAGACTACAACATATGGGCCAATCGCGGTCATCCGTGCTTTTATAAGAACGAAATGGCGCTTTTAGTGACATTTTGCATACAAATCCCCATCTAGTAGGGCGCAGTCACCCAGTTTCGGTGGAAGTGCGCGAGTTCGATTGGGATTCAAGTAGGAAGGGAGCGTCTTAGCTTCCTCGGACCAAGACCATTCGACTCAGCACCCCGAAGACTACAACTGGTGAAATTTTATTTTTTGCCTTAACTTCCCCTTTAATACTGATGACTGTGGTGTCATGTATTTAGAGTCTAGTGCACGATATTGCTTTGTGGTACAAGTATTACATTGTTCATGATAGATAAGTAGATTGGGTTGCAAGTAGGGGTGAAACGAAGGTCTCAAATTACCATTCGAACCTTCTTTATTAAAACGAACGAAGGTGTCGAAGGATTCTCTTTTTAACATGATCACGGAAACGCTCGGAAATCTTAAAAATAAAAGGGGGCAAAAAATCAGAACCCCATACTTATGTTGTATGTGCAATTCTTTCTGAATCTGGTGGTATCAATGTATCCATTCCAGGTAAAAAAATACTTTGGCCCAGCACACAACTATAGATAGAGGCAAGGTTTTAACTTACTCTTGATAGAGGCCATACCTAATACCTGTTTGTGAGTCAATTGTCCATATTTCTGACAATTTAGATAAGTGTACTTTGGATCATGTACAGACGTGTTAGCCTTCGCCTTTTGGACACAAAGCGACAAGAGATCACTGCTCTAGTGTACAGCCAGTTGCATGCTTGAACAATACCAAAATGGAGGGAAAGAGCCATGTTGCGTAGTAAATATCAGATGCCCAAATTCTTCAAAAATTGTCAAATCTGGATATGTACTTTTCGCTTATCTGCTCGCATCCAGCGACTGCATTGGTGATGGAGAGGAGAGTGAATAGTCACTGGGTGAGGAACTTCACCTGCCTCGATGATTTCAGGCCATCGCTGTGCTCCCTCTCGCTGCTGCTGGGAGAGTGAATACTGCAATGGCTTCAGCGATGGAAACTTTTATTATCGATTCAAATTATGAGACTACACTCGTATGTATCGCTGCTACAATTTTCTCCAGACACCATCACTACTAGTAGTAGTAGATATCGACGGCAGCTACAGCAAGCTATATTCCTGGTACAAGCAGCATTACTGAGCGAAAACAGGATCGAAATCGCAAAACTACTCTCCTACTAGTATCGCAGAGCGCCAAGCACTCTGGACGAATACAATCAAAAAAGTCATGTATGAGTACACCATGGTAGATCCACACACTACAGCAAAACGGGAACACGCTGAGCGCTGGTGACTGGAACAGGGCCAGTTCGTACTGACTTGTGACTTGTCACTTCTTCAGTTCCGGTGCGCACGCGGACCGTGCCCCTACTTGTACTTGTAGTACAGCATGGACAGTGCTAGTGCATTCAGCACATCGCACAAAATCAATGCATGCATATGCATGCACTAAAACCCGTGTCGACCTTCGTTCGAATCGAAAACGAAGGTTCGTTTCAAAGGAAAACGAAGGTCCTTCGAACCTTCGACTACTTCGTTTCACCCCTAGTTGCAAGGATAGCATGTTAGAAATAATTGATTGGAACATCTGGGCCGCTCAATTACGTTAAGAGCACACTCTCATTATTGTTAACTACATTGTTGATCATACTGGTCAGATCCTAGTGTTTACCTAGTCATGTAATTTCTCATGCTGCTGTGTTCAGCTGGTTGGACTACTCTAATAGTGCGGGCTTTTGCTGCGCAACTGGTATACCTCACAGTGTATTTAGAATAGTCTTCAATAATAATCTAGGTCAGTGAGTTTCACTACTTCCTAGAACCAGTACAAGAAACACCAGGTCCTGAGATTGTGCGGTGTGCGTGCGTGTACGTGCCGTAGAAGAGTCTGATGGTATTTCCCCTTCAGGACTAACAAGAACCCATTACTTGCATCCTTAAATGCTCTCGCAAACTGGTGATCACAGACTCATTAGATCAAGTAGGTTTTCTTTGGGCCTAGTTTCCTAATTATGTGAAACAACAACAACCAAATCCAAGCATGCACAACTATGATAGCAAACTGTGGAGAAGAAATATAGCAACCTGCATACGCAACACTACTACAACCTGGCATCATGTTGCTATCGTGGTGAGCAAGGTTACCCAGGGAGCGAATGTGGTGCCGGGGGAGGTGGGAAGGCTTACCAAATGTTGAACATGCCAAATACAACTTACCGTTACCCAGCTGAAGCATTCTGTATAGCACCTGGTATTGTCTGTTCTGTTTTCCTGGTCTTGCTCCAACCCAGATCTAGCTGCTGGCGACAAAATGAGTAAGTGTTTTTAGTAATTGAGATAATTTGAAATTTGTAAACCACACATGCACACACTACATACACTACATGTCATGTTTATGTTATTGTGTATGTGTGTGTGTGTGTTTGTGTGCGTGCATGTGTGTGTGTGTATATGTGTGTGTTTGTGTGCGTGCATGTACATGTGTGTGTGTGTGTGTGTGTGCGCGCGCGTGTGTGTGTGTGTGTGTGTGTGTGTGTGTGTGTGTGTGTGTGTGTGTGTGTGTGTGTGCGTGTGTGTGTGTGTGCATGACATTGTGTACGTGTGTGCATGTGTACGTGTGTACATATGTGTTGGCGTCCATTGCATATGGGTGGGTGTATGTGTGGCTAGGGTTGTGCAGTGAACTATTCTCTAAGAGTGCTCTGTTTATTGTTTGGTGTTGTGTGCTTTCTGGCCTGAATTGAATCCTGATCCAGCCACTAACAAAAATGGTAAGTGGTACATGTTTCAGGCATGTTCTTTTTAATGTTTCAACTATGCACTTAAGCATGACACGTGTGCACCCTACAATTTTCAATGCAAGCTTGCCTTTAACGCATGCTCCGTACGCGGAGGCATACACGACCCACACAGACACGGCAATTGTTGGTTGGCACCACAGTGTAACTGGGCGAAGGAGCTGGCAGTATGCAACCATGGAGGTGTGGTTGCCCAAGCACCACCATGTCAGCACTGGTCATGGTTCCAGGAAGACTATGTTACGAGGGCCAATGACCGCATGTGCAACATTACAGAATGCACTAGGTATCTACGATACAGTACAACCAGTGCAGATCTACGTGTTTCAGTCATGCTTTGTGAAGAAAATCAGCACCATGAAAACAAAAGCACATCAAACCAAGAATATCCACTAAATCTCCAACCAGCAACACACACATTTCGAGGTTTAGTGAAAAGATGACGAGGCTGCAATGGAGCTTCAAAGCCAGCAAGTTCTAAAAAAAGAAGGAAGAATACATAAACATTCGCTTGAAGCATGTACTCTTGGTCTGACACTAGCAGTTCGTTCGCCGCCTATGTTTTGTAGTGCTGGCTGTTCGTGTTGGCGGTTGTGGAAAAGAAAAGAATTTTCTTCCATGTTGTCCAAATGAACGCAAAGTATCAGTAGCAGAGGAGTGAAGCCCGAAACGCAGTCGCAGTTCTTTGGGGGGAATTGGGGGAAGGTTATTCAATTTCTGGGTGGTAGTGGAGATGGTCCGCAGGCTTGCAGTACAGTAAAACCTGTATTGACGACCACTCGGATACTAGTATGGCGACCACTTGACCATGGCGACCACTTTTCCTTGTCACGGACGCATTCACATTCAAAACAGCTCGGATAAGACGACAACTCGCTCAACGCGACCAACGACCACCCACCCGCGACCGCGTTGCACAGTGCTAGTACATGTAGAATGTAAATGTACGCTTTGCATGGTGCACCATGCATGGTAGATCTACACATCAGTACTGCAGGAAGTTGTGTGTTGTCCATGGTGCATGCACGACATGTCGACACTTGACAGGTCTGAAGACCCCAGGCACATGAGTCGTGCTAGAGTAGCATCGGTGTGTGCACTGATCAAAATGACGTATCACATGTGGACATGGTCACGTGACCCACTGAACCTGGAGAAGAAGACCAACTGGTCACGGCGACCACTTTTTCTCGTCCCTTGAGGGGTCGCCTTAGACAGGTTTCACTGTACATGGTTGAGTGAAGAGCAGTTGGAACTCATTGCCGCTGGGCTGCTTGAGGGTGGGCAATTTTCGTGATGCAACTGTTTTAAATTTTACAATTTTAATAGTGACATTTGGAGCCATAGTGATGACCGGGTATTTTGATTGATTTTGATTGATTTTTATTTCACAGATCCTCCAGAGGCAAATAGATGCCTATCGAAGGGAGTCTCCTAAGTAAGTATGGAAAATGAGAAAGTATGTTCGTAAGGGAGAAGAGGTAGAAGATACATTAGAATATAGAGTACAGAAGAAGTAAATTCAGTACTTCGGGTAGTACATTGCATGCTAATCATAATGAGAATTAGAAAAGCAGCATTGCGGACTACTATAACTGACATATACACAAACTATTGAAACTATCATAGATGTGGTTAGCCTAGACACAAAAGTCAGGAATACCTTTCAAAGAAAACATAGATTGCGAATGATACCGACGAACAGCAATACTAAATTTCGCTGTTGTAGAGAGTGAACGAATATCTTCAGGAAGTATATTCCAGGCAACACTCAAAGAAAAAAGGGATTTGCCTCCCCGGATGCAGGCATGGCTTTGTGAACACAACTACGGTGAGGCAATGCTGGCTCAGTGGAGTCAGTGCCAGTGGACCATGGCCATTGGGGTGTTCTTAGTTTCACCAGGTGTGTAACGTTGGCAGCGGTCGTTTTGAGTCCCAAGTTCTTTCGTTAGGAGGCCCCTTTTTGAGGTGTGTGTATCCCTGTTAGGATGTCCATGAGTTTTGGACAAAAAAAACATTACCAGGGTTATTGTAGACCCAAAGGAAATCTGCTTGCAAATTTTGAGCGAAATCGGAGAGCTCAAATGTAAAGTTTACACGATGATGTAACATCGGCTTTTGGTGTTTTGTATGTACAGTGTATGTACAGTGTATGTACAGTGTATGTACAGTGTATGTACAGTGTATGTACAGTGTATGTACAGTGTATGCAGGGGCGTCGGAACCGGTGCGGCAGGTGCGGCCAAAGCCGCACCAATAATTTTCGAAGTTTTTTTTTTTTTTTTTACATTTCAACCTTGTTGATGGCTTGTCGACACTTGACTTGTACAGGTAGTAGTAGTAGTAGTAGAATTTATTATTTTGATAGGGAAGGCCCTACAGACGTTGCCGTCTTGTTACAGGGAACCCTAAGTGCTCTTTACAGAGCGAAACAAAAACGGATAGATGCTCAACCTGACGACACGAGACAGGCAGAGAATTCCACCTATCAGCGCCAAGGAAAGAAATGGAGAACATGCCATAGGTACCATGTTTTACATCGACTATCATCAGCATGCATATTCTTATTTCTCATATTATTCTGTAGCGTTAAAATATGGCCTTTTAGGCCCAATTTTCAAATTTTTTCCCGGGGGACAACCCCCGGACCCCCCTCTCTCACTTTCGCCGCACCAATGTCAAACTCCTTCCGACGCCCCTGGTATGTACAGTGTATGTACAGTGTATGTACAGTGTATGTACAGTGTATGTACAGTGTATGTACAGTGTATGTACAGTGTATGTACAGTGTATGTACAGTGTATGTACAGTGTGTGTACAGTGTATGTACAGTGTATGTACAGTGTATGTACAGTGTATGTACAGTGTATGTGTTGCTGCATATCAACAAGGTGTGATCGCTGCTTGTGTTATCGGTGGAGGTACCGTGGTTGTCATTATCGTGATCGCACTGGTCCTTGGCAGACGGTTAGTACTTGCCTAGTTTGTACCGCCGGTACATAGCCATATCTAGCCTGTTTGCATGTGGTGTGTGTTGTCTTCGCTGCCAAACAAGAGAGCCGGTTTGTTGCAGTGGAATAGGAGAACCGGTGGGCACTCAGAGTTTTACCGCTTTCCCGATCATCGGAATCTGATAAAAAAACTCTCATCTGATGACTCTCGAGTACCGGAATATCTGGAACTCTGAGTCGCGAAAACGCAACTGCTTTGCCATTCTGCTCGCGCATTTTGTTCTTGTGTTTCACAAATCGAGATTGTCAGTGAATTTCCATAGGGGGATGGTTCTGCATTCTGGATGCGGAAAACATTTTTGAATGTTGCATGAGCCAAAGATTGGATGTGAACACCAGGTAGTAATGTAAGTTACAGTGAAGAAGGCTAGGTGTAAAGCGTGACCAGATCAGGATAATAGTATGGTACGCATGACAATTGACGTCTCGCCATTAGCTATGGTAGGGCCGCGGACTAGTGCTACAGTTAGTGACCTCTATCTACCTCTATCTATCTATGTACAACGTTGTATCGGTTTTGTAAGTTAGCCTGGCATATGGTGTCATTTGATGAACAATGGCCTTGTCTAGAAACAGCCTGGTGAAAGCTGAAATGCCTCAAACTATGTCTTTCACGTGCAACAGTCCTTCAGAGAGGGCGAAATTCTGCCCTCCTGAAGGACAGATGTCTGCCATTCCTGACAGACACCACTCTCTGCTTTTACCGGACCTGACTTTGTCTGTAAAGGCGGGGAGTGGTGAAATACCAGGTATTTTACCACTAACCGCTTGCACAGGCTATCAGTAGGGCCAGGCATGCAACTTACCGATATCATCATTTTGTCTTGCTATTGTTTTTTGCATGCTGCAGCCAAAAGGCCAGGTCAATTGGCATGACTACATTTAACAATCACAAAACTCTGGTAAGGCTCATGTCTTGCAATATTCACTGAACTTTTTGGCAGGCAATCACACAATGTATACATACAGTAGTGGGATCATTTATTGATATACACATGTACACAATGTGGTATCATGAGTACATGTACATACTCCCCCACCCCACCCCCACACTTTGATGCATTATTACTAATTTATTAGTTTGATTAATTTCGAAGAAGACGTTACGAATAGTAGCATCTGGTGCTAACGGCCAGGGTCCACAGCGCTAAATTCCGCATCGATTTGTGTACCGTGTATATTCACAGGTCACGTGACAGGGCCCAAAGGGCCAGGCTCACATGCGGACGTTCACCCATGATACTTTTTGATAACAAGGAGTTTTCCATACAACTCCATATTGATGAAATACATGTACCGTAATGGGTATTATCAAGAGTACATAACCAAGAGTGTGCAACTCAACGATCCCCCAGCCCATGGCGGAATTTTTTTATGACATCAGTCTTTGGCGGCGGTTTGGCTCACTGATGCCGTCATGCGTAGCCAGAGATCAAAGTACAAAATAATTTGTTCATTACAGCTACGGTAGTCGAAGCAGAACAACGGACGCTAGATCGATGTGTCTTGAACCTGACGCACTCTCACCGTATCTACAAAACCAGCGCGGGAAAGCATACCCACTTCATCATACTTCAGCCAAAGAATGACGCAATAAAAAAATTCCGCCGTGGGTGAACCCATCGCAGCTCAAGATAGGAGTTGCACACTCTCGGTCATGTACTCTTGGTATTATGCTCCTCGACATTCGTCTTGTTGAGCACTCTCGGTAGGCTTCTCTAGTGCTGCTGCAATACGCATTGCCCGCTACTTTTCGTAGTTTGAGCACTCTGGCGCTAGAGCGATGAGCTACCTTAATGTCTGTGGTGCCTCGTTTGCACCATGGCTGGTAGCTCGGCCTATTTAAAGCTCGTAGCTGTACTGATGAGGCCTGGCCGAAACAGCTTGCTGTCTACAGCATTGGGCGTACCGTAAAGTACCGTTGATCCGCCCCCTGTCGAAATTCTCGCTGTGAAGCGACGTCGGCGTATACAATGAAATATGATGTTGAACGTCAGTACCGTCGGTCAGTGTACTGCTGTACACAATACGTGCGAGTGCAGGATGAAAATGTGCACAATCCAGCATTCCAGTGGTCAGATCTTTTGCTTTGTTGTACATCGTACTGCACTTGAACGACTTGATCTAATTCCCACCTCCTGCCGAAAACCAGCTGGGAAGCGACACTGCATGGAGGAGGGGGAGGAGGGTCAAAGGTACTTTATGGTACACTCATACCTCGGTTATCCGGACCCCGTCGTCTACCGGGCACCCTATGGGCGAGTTTCAGTGGAAATATTACTACTCTTTCGGCACTTTTTGAGGAAATAGTGACGTCATATGCCATATCTATGGCATTTCCCCATCAAAATGTATGTGATTCGGAGTTACGGATATTTCGAAGTTACGGACAGTGCCTGGTCCCGGATCACCCGGATAAACGAGGTAGAAGTGTACATGTAGGCAAATATCAAGCATAGAGGAGGGTCCTGAGCCGGGCTCTCTTGTTTTGTGTTACTTTGAACCCTGCTGCAGAGTCACACCGACAGCAGTATCAGCTTTGCTAACGGCATCCAGTCGGGCGGAATTCTTGAGGTGTGTTGAATATGATTTTTTTATTAGGGAACGTGACTGCTAAAAAGCCTCCATTTACTTCATACTTTACAGACTTGAAGGCTTGATGTGGAAGTGTGCTGACCTCAAATAGGTACCTCTTTTTACTCACCGTGACACTGGTGATAAAATGTAATTGTTGCCGATGCAGTTTGCTTCCATTACTTCCCACCACTGCTTGAAGACTCTGGCACTGAAATTGACTTGCAATATGCTCTGTCAAGTGGGATGTGTACAGGGTTGTAAAGGCAGCATGGTTTTTGCCAGGAATCAGTTGCAGTGCTGCCAAATAATTTTCGCCCAAAATCGGACACCCTTCACCGCCAAGGCTGGCCACATGGTGCGATTTTTTTACACTGAATTCAAAATATCGCCTAAAACACCATGAAAATTCGCTTTGTTGCCATGGTAACCCCAGAGTTGTCATGAATTTTGTAATGATGAGTGTGGCCGCACACTGACTCTGTACAGACTGTCAGTGTACATGCCATCCAGCCTGATCCAGGCATGTTACTTTGCACTTCCACAGCCAAGCGCTAGCCTTTTTAGAAGCAAATGTACAGTGATCTGTGCCTTCAGTTGCGCTGAAAAGTGAAAGTACAGGACTTCTGCATAGAAAAGTAATGATCTCCGACATTTTGGCTGCTTTTCGGACGTTTCCCTTTTCGGACCGGTTTTCGAAAGAGCCTTGAAAATCCGGACACTGTCCGAAAAATCGGACGGTTTGGCAGCACTGCAGTTGTTGTAGTAGACTTCCCCCAACACAAACCACTACTGTATAAGCAGAAATATTCATCTGGAATTTAATTTCGTCTTTTTCGTCCAAGGAGCTTTTGGACTAAATTAAATGCCGGACGAATGTCGATTTGTCCAGCTTTTCAATGCACTCTTGTGATCCATGGACGAAATTTACAGCCGGACAAACTCCCTTTCTTTGGAGTTGGACGAAATTATTGACCGACGAAATTTTCTGCCTGTACAATATGTCTATGTGCTGCTCAATACATTGCTGTCACCGTTAGGTCTCCTGTTACATTATATAATGATTGTAGGATCTGTATTCTTCTTTCCAGACAATGTGACTAGTGATACGAACTACCACTGTCTTTTGCTGCCATTCACACGGTTCGTTAGCTGGAGCTGTAGGTGGACTTAAAATTTCTTACACCTGTCGTTCAGCTTCCCAGTTCAGTTTTGGTCTTGTACTGTCTTCAACAGTTCAGTTTAGAGTTCTTCCATGACTTCTCTTCAGTTCAGTCTTGTTTTCAGTCAAAGTCTTTACTCATTGATCCAGTTCAGTCTGAATTCTGCTCCACCTAGCCGTCTGAATCACTTCATGCCATTCTTACTTTTGCAACTAACTACAATCCAACCTCATGAATATAATAGCGTTGCCGGGCGCTACGCACCCCTAACTGTAAGCATCACACACACTGCAGGTCCGTGCACTCTAACGCAGCCCTAGCACTACACACACACTGCAGGTCTGTGCACTCTAACGCAGCCATGGCACTACACACACACACACACACACACACACACACACACTGGTCCGTGCACTCTAACGCAGCGCTACTTTATTCATGAGGTGTTGGATTTCTTCGCACTGTACTTTTGAGTTGCTGAGACAAACACAGTGTGCTTCGTCTCTTGGTCGTGTACTACACTGAGTTGTTTGTAAGCAACAGATTATTGCACGAGCATTACGCTCCTCGATAGTCGTCTTGTTGAGCACTCTCGGTAGGCTGCTCTAGTGCTGCTGCATTGCCCATAGCCGCTACTTTTCGTAGTTAGAGCACTCTGGCGCTAGAGCGACGAGCTCTGTGGTGCTTCCTTTGCATCATGGCTGGTTGCTTGGCTTGCCTTTAAAGGGGAAGTTAAGGCAAAAATTAAAATTTCACCAGTTGTAGTCTTCGGGGTGCTGAGTCGAATGGTCTTGGTCCGAGAAAGCTGAGACGCTCCCTTCCTACTTGAATCCCAATCGAACTCGCGCACTTCCACCGAAACTGGGTGACTGCGCCCTACTAGATAGGGATTTGTATGCAAAATGTCACTAAAAGCGCCATTTCGTTCTTATAAAAGCACGGATGACCGCGATTGGCCCATATGTTGTAGTCTTTTGGACGCTGAGTCGACTGGTTTTGGTCCGAAAACGCTGCGATGCAGCGTTCCTCCTTTATTCCCAATCGAACATGGTTGAACAAGTGGTCACGTGCTCCTGGGTGCCCAAATCACCTGGTCACCACGCCAGCAGGCGACAACTTTCACACCAAGGTTCAACTCGAGTGACAGGACTGCACCCAAAAAAGGTCAAACAGGCTAGTAAGTTGTACCCTGCAGGCACGGTGACCAGGTGACTGGTGTACGCAGGAGCACGTGACCACTTGTTCAACCATGTTCGATTGGGAATAAAGGAGGAACGCTGCATCGCAGCCTTTTCGGACCAAAACCAGTCGACTCAGCGTCCAAAAGACTACAACATATGAGCCAATCGCGTTCATCCGTGCTTTTATAAGAACGAAATGGCGCTTTTAGTGACATTTTTGCATACAAATCCCTATCTAGTAGGGCGCAGTCACCCAGTTTCGGTGGAAGTGCGCGAGTTCGATTGGGATTCAAGTAGGAAGGGAGCGTCTCAGCTTTCTCGGACCAAGACCATTCGACTCAGCACCCCGAAGACTACAACTGGTGAAATATTAATGTTTGCCTTAACTTCCCCTTTAAAGCTCGTAGCTGTACCGTTATGAGGCCTTTATGGCCGTAACAGCTTGCTGTCTACAGCATTGGGCAAACAACAGATTATAAACTTAACTTTGCTTACCGAGATGCCGGGCTATAGAAGGATTGCAATACAGTAGCCTATATTTGACTGGCCATGCCGGAGTGCTGTAGGCGACCGGCTAGCTGTGATTGAGTATAACTGTATAACTGTATGTGACTGGCTGTGGCCGAGTACAATTGTTAGGTCGATGTGTAGACCTCACTGATCAAGTAGACGAGTTTTTAATTGACCAGGGTGTGCTCGGGGTGTGCTATTGTCCGTGTCTGTGCGTGCTCCTGTGTTGTGCAGAGTGAAGCCTGAACAACAAGCATGACTCCAGGGGACGGTTCCAGCTCTGTGTCATGCAAGTCTGAACAACTACACTCTAGGGTTGCATCCTCGTGCCATGCACGTCTGAACGACAACTCTCTAGGATTGCAGCCTCGTGTCGTGCACGCTGCCCCAAACTTGTTGTTGCTTGACATCACTCATTTCCTCCGTTCTTACGTCTTTATGTTGTTACATGTTGTATTGCCTGTCGATCAAGACAAAGTGTGGCATGTGCAATTCGATTATGACGCTGTGTGACAGGTGCCATTTTGATTACGTCATGTCACATACAGAATTTGATTATAACGCCGTGTGACATATGCAATTATATTACGTGTGACATATGCAAGTATACCGTAATGTCGCGTATAAAAGCAGGTGCTTACGGCCGTATAAGCCGATATCAGTGCTAGGCTTGTATTCAAACCACGTATCTCTATGTATGTCAACACAAAACCAGGCTTATGTGCTGACAGTGTATCTTAAAAAATAGGCTCGTATTCGAAACAATCATGCTTTTATACAAGACACTACATACAAGCGAGGGTCCCTGGTTCGAGTCCTGGTGGTGACAGTCAATTTTTTCTTCAGACTTTTCCCGTTTGTCTCTTTCCCTCAAAACCAGTTAATACTACATACAGTATTTATTATTTTGGAAAAATCACGTTAGCGCTTTGGTCTACCCTGAAATTTACAATTATGCCCATCGATGGGTCCAAGTTTTCAGTTTATGATAAATATGGCGACGTGTTTCGTTCTATTCCTTCAATAGAAGTTTTGACGTGTTTTATCTTAGTTCACGTATAGTTATGTATACATTCTATCTGGTCAGTTCAACTACATCGTGTCATTCCAGCTGCCCCAGCAAACCATCAGCGACTTGTATTCAAAACATGTGCACCGTTGATTATCGGTATGGGTATACGGGTGATGTTGTGTGCCTGGGGGGGGGGGGGGACACTGGTCTTGTGACGTGTAGTCAGGCGGTCAATAAATAGCGGTATTTGACACGACTCTCTGGCAACTGTGTAGTGTAGAATGGAGAGGGAGGTACACATCAAATTGATGTGTTTGACAAAGATGGCAGTCACCCTGGACACCACGTAGTGCTGGACACCTTCTAATCTGCGGGGCAAATTGTCCCATATTTGGCAGATACAAGCAGCTCTATTACATTCCATTTCCTGAGTACGATTGTACACAGTTTACGACCTTTTCATGCAGCGCTTGCTACAGCTCTAGCTAGTTGGTATCGTGGTGTGCACAGTTGTACAGTTATAGTGGATTTCCCCGTAAAAGCTTAACGGCATCCGACCTCTTGAAGAGAACAGCTAGGACTGACTGTGCAGGGATACAGTGCACAATAGGCCAAATACAGGTCCGCAGCCAGCAGGCCAGGTGGGACGATGCTTTCCCTAGGGCTCTGCAGACCTTTGATGACCTGATGATTGATGGCATACAACGTGGCTACACTGCAGTGTGAGCAAGCTGGTGGAATTTCTCCACTGCTGCCAGGCCTGACATATGCCAGTACAGTGCGTGTTCGGTTAGGTGTTGCGAAATGACTAAAACCACCATGGGGCCATGGGCAGGTGACGGTCAGAGCACTATCACATGGGGGTACTCCCCCCCCCCCCCCCCCCCCTTCACTCAGGCGTGTACATGTAACTATAATTTCATGTAGCTGTGCAGCACAGCGGTAGACTTGTATTTCAGCATTGACACATGCATGGTAAGAGTAGAAACAGCTGGACACGCACGCCAGGGCCAAGAAAGACATGAGTCATACACACTTGCACAACTCACCAGCTCGTGCCACACGACTCGCCCGGGCAAAGACACACTCGACGCAGCTTGTAATAGGTGAACTCCCGATCAGCACAATGTAACAAGCGGAGTAGAACAGCAGTCCTCAAGTGTGCAATGATTCAGCGGCAGCGGTGCCACATCTGAGAATAGAATAAACACAAGACGAGCGTAAGGTCAACAATTGCCACGATGAAATGAGCTGGTGAAGCACAAGCGACGCACAACTTACTTGGATAGTCGGTGCCAAGAATCACAAAGGAAGGAAATTAAAAGATATAAAGCAATGGAGAATGGCAGTCTCCTGGAGAAATTGATGATATAGAGCATACAATTTCTTGCCTCATTGCCAGTTAAAGTTAGAAAGACGTTAAAAACACAGATACCGGGTAGATAATGATAGCAAACATGGTCAGACCAAGAGATGACAGCGACAGCAACGGCCATATGAATCACATGGCAGCTGCCGAGGAACGGAGGAGTTATAATATAATTAGTATTGTAGCCAGGATCAAGCACGTTTTTTTCATTTGATGAGGGCAGATTTGTGGTTCGACTTTGTACAAGATGGTGCATGGTAGTATGGCTGGGGCGATTTTTCATGGTTTGTGATAACTGTGGTAGCAGCAGCAGCGACAGCAGCACTACTTTTCTATGTATGTAAAAAGGTCCGCTAGAAGTCCCTCCAGGTCACCGCCAACGCTGCAGAGCAAAGCAAAGGGAGAGAAAAATTGGGAAGTTCACCGGAGTGGCTGCCGAGCCTAATCAAGTCCACGCGGCGCTGAATCGGAAGGAGAGAGAAGACAGCTACTTCTACAGCCACTCTCTTTCATTCTCCCTACTTCTGTTCAGCTTGTCTTCTCCTCTTAGCGTCCATGGCATCGAGGATAGGCTGCCGCTTTGATTGGTACCGTCTCCGCAGCTCTTCAATTTCTCTCTCCATGTCGGGATCCAGCTGAGCAAGACGTTCCTTTAGCTCCGAGTACGAGCGCTTGCCAAGCATTTCGAAGTCCGACGTTGTCGGCACTTGCTTGACGGGTGCTATTTCCCGCTGCTCCTCGGCACTCATGTTGTCAAAATGGTCCATGAACGACGGCCGGTAGTCCTTTTTCCGGTCATTGCCGCCACTAACCTGCGTGGTACCGTCTGATACACACTTCATTGTGTCTGTAATGACCATAGAGTCAGAGTTTATGACCATTGAGTCCGTGTTCATAACCATGGTACCACAGCTACTGCCGTCATCCTCATCACCGTTTAGAACCATGGTACCCGTATCCGACATCGGCTTGATGACCATCGAGCCACTGTTCATCACCATGGTACCCGTCGACATGTCATCGTCACTGCTACTCTTGGTTACCATGGTACCCGATGAAGACACATCCGGGACACTCGAGGAAATCACCATGGTACCGGTGTTCTCATCGTCGTCGTCGTCATCATCCTCTCCGTCACCTTCACCATCACTAGCTTCTTGTGCCTCTTTCATCAGATGCATTGCCTCCTCAATCATCGTCTTCAATGAATTTGACGTACTAGCATTCTTGATGAAATCATGTTGGAGCAGAGATGTGGCTGTCGCACGCTCCTCCGGGTTCTTCACGACGCACTGCTCCAGGAAATCACGAAATCCGGGCGTCCATCTGTCCTCGTCTTTGAACTTTGGCGGTGGCTTGCTGGGTATCATGAATATTGCTCGCATAGGGTGAATGTCAGCGTACGGTGGCTTGCCTTCGACCATCTCAATGGCAGTGATTCCTACTGACCAGATATCTGCTCTGCAATCATAGCCGACCTCCTGGATCACTTCCGGCGCCATCCAAAACGGTGTACCGATCACAGTGTTCCGCTTAGCCATCGTGTCTGACAGCTGACCGGCAACACCGAAATCGGCCAGTTTCGCGTGGCCAGATGAATTGAGCAAGATATTGCCTGCTTTGATGTCACGGTGAATCTTACGTTTGAAATGCAGATACTCGAGACCTTTCAGCGTTGCCTGGAGAATAGTAGCTGTTTCTGGCTCAGTCAGAGTTTTCCTGCACGCTTTCATGATGTCAGAAACTGATCCAGCTCCACAGTACTCCATGACAATCCATAAATCCTGGTCCTTGAAGTAGCTACCATAATACCTTACTACGTATGGACTGTCACACTGCTGCATGATAGAAATCTCTTTAATAATTTCCTGCAAGTCGCTGTCAACGGGTACTTTCTTGATGGCAATCAGCTCACCTGATTCCTTGTGCATGGCTTTGTAGACAGCTCCATAAGAGCCCTCACCAAGTTTCTCCAGGAGGTCAAAGACCTCCTCAGGTTGCCTCTGGAGATTCTCATCGCTAAGTTTTACAAAGCCGGTGGCCTCCATGGCCACTGCAACCTATCCTTGTCCTACAGACAACCTACGGTCGTGCTATGTCATTGTCCTCAGCCTTCTAGTTCTCTACTCAACAACTCACAATTCCTGAACTCTTCTTCTCTTTGCTTTGCAAAGATCTTACCGTTTTCTTTGAGTGGGTAAAACTTTCTTTTGCCAGACGCCATTTTCTGCGTCTTGAAAACAATCGAATTTTGACGTTGCGCATACCCCTTCACATACAAGAGCTGATAAACCGCGCCGGCGGATTTGAAATCTCGCTCTAAACCCTCAAACCCTTCCACATTTCAACAGGATGTAACAGTAACACCAGAATTACTTCGCTACCCACCTGGACCTAGTACCTGGCAAAGCTGCTGCATATCTCTAGCCAGCGTGTCGGAACACGGCAAACGTTGACGTCATGACACATAATGCAAGAGCGGTTTTGAACTCTTGATTTGGATTTATCAGTTCTGTTCACTTCACAGTTCACACTTGGCAGGATGACGTGCAAGAAAAAGTGATACCTTTTGGAGTAAAGGCGCCGTCCTTGAAAGAGTGAAGTCCACTAGTGTTGCATGCAATGTTGACTGACAGTATCATGGCGGAAGAAACCCTGGTTGGTGCTGGAAACGTTCACGAACGTCTCGCAGGTACTGCCTTCGTAATCAAAGGGAATTTGTTCTGTTTCATATTTTTGAATTTTTGAAAATATTCATAATGGAAATGCAGGAGATAGACAGCAAGGAATATCCTATTCACATTAGGGGGTTCCCTGACACTGTGACAGGCTACATAATACACTAGTCGTACTACTAGCATATGATGAGAGCCCTTCAATAAGCTACAGTTGTCAGGGTCGTTGGAGGCTGTTGGCGAGTGGTATGGCCGGGGGGGGGGGGGGGGGGGTCCCCCGCAGGGGTCAAGGGGGCAGAGCCCCTTGTGGGGGTGAGGGGGCGGAACCCCGGTGTTTGGGATTCCATGCAATGGAAAACACCCCCGATGTATACATACTGACCAACCACCACAATCTCAATCCCTTGACAAGACATGCAGAATCCCTGGATTTCTCTCAAAATCCCTGGATGGCACAAAAACAAGTGAAAAAGAGCTTTTCCCGCCAAAAAAACGTTCGACTCTGCAGCTGTGCGTACAGCACAGATCGACCCTGTACTAGGCTGTAGTGCAGTTTGATCAGTCGGCGCCCGCCTGTCACTTTGTCAGTGCAGATCTTGCATGGTCAGGTCTTCAAAGTGCTGTGCACAGTTCGACGTGCGCATGAGCACCGTACATACCTTTGAAAAAACTTCAAAAACCGGGACATTCGGGAGAAACCATGGAGTTTTCAGGAAAATCCTGTATCAGACAAAACTTTGGTTTTTCCGGGAGTTTGCTTGAAATCCCCGGGACCCTGGGAGGAGTGTTGATTTTCCGGGATTTTCCCGGGAAAAACGGGAGGGTTGGCCAGTATGTGTATATCTTGAGCATTGTACAGCAAGTCCAGCATTCTGCTGTACAGGTACGACGCGCCGATCGACGCTGGAAAAATCTCCCCAACTTTCGAAACTTTTTTATTGCTTTTCTGAGCATTTCACGGTGACCACCGGCCATGGTCGTACCAGTCGTACCGACTCCAACGGCCTTGGTTGTGCCAGTGCAGTCCGCACCTATGTTCACTTGCCACACACCGAATGCAACTCGGCCGCGACATTGTGCGTACTACGACTCTAGCTCATGTCATCGAAATCAATGTGCAGCACTGAAGTCTACTTGGGCCCGGATCCACTTGCAGCTACCTTAATGGCCGAGGGTGTATGCTGTCACATAGTCTAATGTACTAGGGAGTGCAGTCCATTTGTTTGGTTTTGATTAGTTTCTGATCTCTACAAGCATTTCACTGATTTTGAGAAGGAGACCTTTGGCCTTTAGTGGCTACTTTTACCTTCCAGATTTGCTATGACTTGTATTAGTTTTTTATAGGTTTGTTCTCATGACACGGAGCACCGCGCATCAATCCCTGTAACTAATAGCCTTTTCCTGCCCATCGGCAATCATCAGACAACTGAGACAACTTAGTTGTCTGATGATTGCCTATGGGCATGAAACTATTAGTTAGAACGAAGGATGCATGGTGCTCTGTGCCGTGTGTACAGTAGCTCTAGTCGAATGAATATTGAGCACTCTACTGAGCCGGAGGACTCTCATTTGTAACTTTGTTCTCTTCCCTTTTTCTCCAACAGGCTTTGAAGTAGCTGCTGGGAATGACCGACAGCTACTACAAGACATTCTAGCTCGTCTTAGTGATCTCCATACTACTTTTTCCGGCAAGGAAAACGGTGAGTTTGAAACTGATGATGATGATGACGACTCGTGCCCAAAGTGGGAGTCACTTGATTCAACTCAGTCTGCAGAGAGTACTGCCAAGAGTACATAACCCCCAGAGTGTGCAACACCGATCCAGCTCTGCATAGGGTCTTGGTCAAGCGGAATCGGATCTTCTGATGTCATGCGTACACTCCACACCAGCGCAAGGCCGGTCTCGAGGCAGGGTACCAATGTTTTTGATCCAAGAGCACCCGCGACTCCCCGGGTTCCCCTCAGATGTGTACGGTATTATGACGCAAAGATCCGATTCCGCTCGACCAAAACCCTATGCAGAGCTGGATTAGGCGTTCCACACTCTGGGGGGTTATGTACTCTTGGTACTGCTTAGCTCTGTGTGAGCTCCTGTGGACTCCGTGTCAAATTCAACTCCATGTCTGATGCTCACTTGTATGTGTGAAATATGGAGTTACAGCGATTTACGGCAGAACATCTTTTTAGTGCTTTTGTCTGCGCATACCGTGCATCACAGATAGGAACCCATCAGCGGCAGGTACCCACCCTCGTCCTCATCTTTACTTATAAAGAAGAGGCACCTGTGACGTGTGTCTGTGTGTCACGCTCAGGCCATCCTGCGGAGCAGCGCTGCCCTGAGCACGCGAAGCGTGCGAACAGTGTAGCTAGCGGCCGCAGAAGCACTGAGCACGCGAAGCGTGCGAATCGTGTAGCTAGCGGAAGCAGCCACAGAAGCACTGAGCACGCGAAGCGTGCGAATCGTGTAGCCACCACCACGTGCTGAGCACGTGCGAACAGTGTAGGTGGTAGCAGACACGATCAAGACGAGTAGCAGTAGCAGCCGCGCGCAGAAGCACTGAGCACGCGAAGCGTGCGAATCATGTAGCCACCTAGCCTAGGCCATAGGTAGCACTAGCAGCCGCACAAGCGCTGCGGACCACGTGAACCGTTCTCTGCAAATAGAAACATCTGCAACAAAAGGATACAAAAGATCTGCACTGACTGCACTCTGCATCTGATCTGCAGTGAAGAGCGCATCGCACTTTTGTTCGTAAGTTTATGAATTTTTTGAGCCGCTTCATCCGCCACCAGGTGATGGACAACCCTGACCAGCCTCCCGAAGGCGTAACAGACGTCCCTCCTTCTCCTTCCAACGATGAAGAACCTCCCTCACCAGGACTTCAGCGGTCTGGCCACCACCACGTGCTGAGCACGTGTGCTGTTCATGTACTTGCTTCACCCGCATGCCACATTCGGCCAGGCAACGCTGGCCGGGGGTGCTGCTAGTCTGATATATATGTACTGTTGAACTCAGCTTCCGCCGTTGCTGGTCTAGACTGCTGGTGCGATAAGTGTGTACAGATAGCGCAGCCTCTTTTCTGAATAGAGAATTCAGTGCGCACCGGAGTGTGCGATTAGCAGGGAGTTTAAAAAAAAATCATTTTATGGTTCAAAACATACAGTGATAAGTACAGTGCCCCCGGGATGTGCTCGATATAGGCAACGGTGGGAGTGACTTTGTGCGACTTAATTTTTGCACTTTATGTGCTTCGAAGTTCAAAGTAGCCAAGATGAAATGAGTACAGTCTGTATCGGCTATAGCGTACCCTTTTGATTTCCGTGATTTTATCACTATAACCGATGCATCACTATATGCGATACGATCGATTTTTTTCTTTTTTCGATATCAACACATGAAAGGCAAGGAAATACTTCCAACATGGCGTTTTGACAAATGAGCATGCTGCATAGTTGACAGTGCCCGCATTTCCATAAAAAAATCCTGTTATGTACCGTATTTTTCCGGTTGTAAGTCGACCTTTCACGACTAAAAATAGAAGGAAAAAGGGTGGGGGTCGACTTACAACCGGGATTCGACTTATAACCGGGAACTATCAGTATCTTTAAAAAAATGACCTGAACTGCATGCACGAGTGCACTGTGTGTACACATTTGTGCCAGTTTATTGGCCTTTTTCAACGATTGGGACGTTATACCCTCCAATAAGGAATGTTTACACGATTTGTTGATGTGTTAGTAGCAGGGAGTAGTTAGTAGTGCTTCGTTGGGTGAAGACTTTAAAACGCAGAACTGAGACCTCCGGATACGGGGGTCGACTTATAACCGGGGTCGACTTATAACCGGTAAAATACGGTACATGTATCACTATAAAAATAAGCAACGTGAAGAAAGTAAAAAATAGGGCCTTTGATATTATTGCTACATGTATTTTAAAATCATCACTATAGCCGATAATAATAATAATAGTGTGTTATGCATGTTTTGATTCTTTGCTGCCATCATAATATCCGATATATCATTACATCCGATAATATTGGTTTTAGTGATATTTTTACTGGATAAAAACGTTTTGCTTTTGATATTTCGTACCAATATCACTGTAGCCGATATATTCTTATATCCGGTCACTCTATAGCCGATACAGACTGTACTGGTAAATTGGTGATGGCATCCCTTTTTCAAACTAGGCTAACTTGATATTACTGTTGTATGTGCTCTGTGCGTGTATGTACTTTGTGCTTGTATGTGCCCAATCCATCTTGGTACCTGGATCGGCATCGCTGCCCTCTCCACCAGTGACCAGCACAGCGTCATTGCAAGGTGATGAGCCAGTCCGTTCTGACCGTGCGTCGATATCAACAGCCGGTGAGAGCAGCGAGAGCACCGCGGCCAGCACCACCGCCAGCACCAGCACTGTTGCAGATGCCAGCGCTCGGAACAACACCACCACCATCACCACGCCCGTTGCAGCCAGCAAGCGCCGGCACTCGGTGACGTTTGCGCCCGCACCATCCGTGAACTGCTTCAGTCCGGCGACGGCAGTGGTGGAGTCTGCTCAGCCCAACGCCATTATTACGCCAGCTACTTTCAGTTCAGCTGTCACTGCGCTACGCTCGGCTATTGGACCTATGCAGAGGAAAAGTAAGGATAAGCTATTGTGTACCATGTGACAGTAGTCATGTAAGCAGCCAATCTCTGTATGGGCATGTATGGTGTTGTGCTGGACCATCAGCTGTACGACTGCTTGCACAGGTGCACTGTACACCGGCCACATGCTACTTGGGTATGTATGGAGCTGACCTCAGGTCCACGATGCTGCGCAGCCTTTGCTTAAAAATAAAAAATAAACTCGACGGTATCACCCTGAAATTAGTTCCACCTCCACCAAACGCGCTCTCTGGCCGACCTCATTCACACCAGCAACATTTCTCCAAGCCGTAGATATTGGTGAATATAATTTCCTCCATACAGCGCTGTATGAACTATTTTTAAAAGGTCTCATCAAAAGGTTGACACCCTGGGTCTGATTTTTTAAACGTTCCATTGTGTTTGATCTGCACTGGCTTACCTGCACCTGCATGCACAATTGCACACTGTTATATTCGGCGTCTTCTGCACTACACCCGTCCAGTCCTGCTACTCACATTTTATTATTGTGTTGCGTTATTTTTCAGATATACTGCAGAGTCAAGTGGCTGGTTACCTGCTAACCTCATCACAATTTGGTAAGCTATGCACGGATCCACTGTTGTCGTACTGCTAACAATCCTATCTTTTCCCTTTAGTGGTACAGTAAAACCTGTGTTTGCCGCACGCTGTACCAAGCACAATCCTGCATTGACCGGACACATGTTCATGCACCAAAGTGCTGTGCATCAAACGTGCATCCCTGGATCAAGCGGAACCCTGTCATATTAGGGCAGTTTCCACTGCACCAAGGGCGTCTGGTTAGGGCAAGGTTTTACTGCATATTTTTAAATTGCATGCCCATGTTGACGTGAACCAGAGGAGTCCACAGCTTCACTCATGTCGAGTGGCTCAGCTAAGGTTAACGTGATGCAGTAGAATATCTGGACATCCCATAACCTCACTTGCTTCGCAGGCTGGCACTTATAGTCGAATCTTGAAAACGTGTTCCTTTTGTGGAAGTCAGCTCAACTACTTCACAGTTCAGAAGGTCCTGTTCGCTATCAGTTATGTTAGATTGTGTCCGCGTACGAATGGAATCGATATTGATTGAGTGAGCCCAGCTGAAGTGAATGTGTAATGTTTTCCAAGTTCTGGGTTGATTCTGTGATACCAGCGCCCGTGTGTCTCAAGACCTATCAATAAGACTCCGAGGGTTCTGCTGTGTAATCTGATATATTACGGGTTCCACCCCGGCCCACTCCACTGTCATCCGGACCGAGTTTCCATTGCACATGTCAAAGTTACGAGTGCATTCTGATATGCATGAGAAACACGACTCTCTGTTAGGAACTAGGGATGCATTTTCTGGCACTATGCCGGTGCCTGGTCTCACCCCCTTGCCTGTATATCTGCTTACTTCCACAGCCATTTTGCTATCGTTCCTGCGCTATGTGGAGGAGCGGTCTTGGGCGGCGGAGTGCCTCTCGCTGTGCGTCGTCGACATTGAGAACTGTAGCGACGCTTTGCTCATGTACACTACTGTCCGGTCGGAGAAAGAGCTGCGTGCCATTCAGGCATGCTTGGCCCGGGCTCGACACACTGCCGCTACTGACAATGCCAGCTAGCAGCTGCTTCTCAGTACCTTCTCATTCTGGATCACAACGCAGTATTTACGCTTCAAAGTCAAACCCTATCTCTCTGGTAGACAGCTATCTCCAGTACTGTCCCAAACCTATGGTAAGGTACCTTGATCTTGATTTCAAGTCATCTTTGCAGTGTTCGTGCACAGTCTACACACGCCTGTCCCTGTATAACGTAAGCCCAGAAGGACACACAGCGTCTTGTATGGTCTTCTTTGTATGTCATTGTTTGCGCCATCTTTTGCGCCAGTTGTCTCTACATGTAGTGTTGATTAGGTTGGCTGCTAGCAGGATTACTAGCAGCAACACAGCTACGAGTACGAATATTCAATACCAACAGCACCAATATAGCACATGAATGCCATTTATAGCACATTCTCATCCATTCTGGTCTTCCAGGTCCATGCACCTGAAGACTGTACATGACGCCCATGCGTAAAAGTACTTTTATTTTTCAACCAAAAATCTGTGAACGCTACAGCAGTGATAAAGATATTTTACAACAACCGTCGTGTACATGTACGTGTAACACCTTCCTTCTGACATAATTCATTGATTGAATTGCTATTTCACTTAGTATCAACAGGGTGGAGTTTTACAGTGGTGGGGGCTGGCTGGCTAGGTTAATTCACTAATCGCAAATGGCCTGCCTGGTAGGAGGACAGTGCTGTAACAAGACAGTATTGGTATGCATGTTGACAAGCCACCTACACTGTTTTAAACAACACATACACATGCCACCATCGTCGCTTTCAATTCCTTTGTCAAATCATCTGTATGAGAACACGGCGTGGCGCACACTGCTGCTATACACATGTGCCTCTAGAATGAGAACGTCATTGTCATGATTGTGTGGACTATGAACAGGTAGGGGGGTATGATTGTACGAGCCAGCAGGTAGGGGGTATGACTGTACGAGCCAGCAGGCAGGGGGGTATGATTGTACGAGCCAGCAGGTAGGGGGTATGATTGTACGAGCCAGCGGACAACTGGTGCCACGCACACCACTGCTCTCCGTGCTGCTGCTGCATCTTTGCAGCACTATTGATTTAGTCAACGCGGTGAGCTGATCAGCGTGTACACTGGGCAGCTCAGTCATCGTCCTGACGCCGTGCCTTGGTCATCTTTTGCTCCTGAGATACCTCCAGTGAGGCAATGGTCTCCTCTGGCACGCCGTCGCCCCACAGCGCCTTGACAAACTCCAGCACACAGCCTGCTGCGTCCAGCAAGATGAAGCGGTGCTTGAAAATCTCTATCTGGGCACCGATGGCGAAATCAGCTGCGGTGTAGTACTCGGGGTGATCGACAATGCCCGCCTTGACGAAAGGCTGACCTTTCTTTGGAACGCGTGTTCTGCGTAGGAACTTGCCACCGAGAATGCCAGAATTCCTGGTGAGGGAAACACGGGCAGAGCAAGCGATCATTGCCAACACATTCTAGTGAAGCAGTATGAGACGGTGCCACTGCCGGTGTTACTAATGTACTGCTCCGGCTATACTGTGTAATGCCAAACAACATACATAGTGTAGTAAGTGTACAGTGATCATTCAGCGCTTAAAGGGGAAGTATACCCTAAAATCAAATTTTCACCAGTTCTAGTCTTCTGAGTGCTGAGTCGAATGGTCTTGGTCCGAGGAAGCTGCGACGCTCCCTTCCTTCATTTTTCCCAATCGAACCCGCGCACTTCCACCGAAACTGGGTGACTGCGCCCTACTAGATGGGGATTTGTATGCAAAATGTCACTAAAAGCGCCATTTCGTTCTTATAAAAGCACGGATGACCGCGATTGGCCCATATGTTGTAGTCTTTTGGACGCTGAGTCGACTGGTTTTGGTCCGAAAAGGCTGCGATGCAGCGTTCCTCCTTTATTCCCAATCGAACATGGTTGAACAAGCGGTCACGTGCTCCTGGGCACCCAAATCACCTGGTCACCGCGCCAGCAGGCGACAACTTTCACACCAAGGTTCAACTCGAGTTCAACTCGAGTGACAGGACTGCACCCAAAAAAGGTCAAACAGGCTAGTAAGTTGTACCCTGCAGGCACGGTGACCAGGTGACTGGTGTACGCAGGAGCACATGACCACTTGTTCAACCATGTTCGATTGGGAATAAAGGAGGAACGCTGCATCGCAGCCTTTTTGGACCAAAACCAGTTGACTCAGCGTCCAAAAGACTACAACATATGGGCCAATCGCGGTCATCCGTGCTTTTATAAGAACGAAATGGCGCTTTTAGTGACATTTTGCATACAAATCCCCATCTAGTAGGGCGCAGTCACCCAGTTTCGGTGGAAGTGCGCGAGTTCGATTGGGAATAAAGGAGGAAGGGAGCGTCTCAGCTTCCTCGGACCAAGACCATTCGACTCAGCACCCCGAAGACTACAACTGGTGAAAATTTGCTTTTAGGGTATACTTCCCCTTTAACTATTTCTGTGAATTTCAATCAGCCACAACCAGGATGCAAGCAGCTTCCACTGAACACTGTGCACTCTGTCCATCAGTGCCATCAGTGTGTGTCACTAAGTGCTCTTGGCCAGCTCAGACCTGGTCACCTCCCACTGGACAGCAGTCACGCCGGCGGTTAACACTGCAACGTCATGCAATCTACAGTGCTGACAACTGAAACCCGACCCCCTGAGCGGTGCGCTCACATCGCAAAGACCCAACACGGGATGGTAAAACTACGAACCAGAGGCCGCTAGAATGTGAACCCACCGCTCAGGGGGTCGGATTTCAGTTGCCAGCACTGAACATGTACATCGCGTGCAGCATACATGTACTTACCGCTGGACAGGCTCGTCGATGGAGATGGTATCATTGTTCAGGTGGTAATAGATAATGAAACGCCGACGCTCATCCTCTGGATGACGTGATTCCTAGTAAGGACACAGCAAGCATAGTCATCCAGTTGTGAGCCAGTGCAAGTCAAGATTATCTAAGCTTATCCTTGCTCGGTCACTCTCATAATGGCTACTGTAGAGCGGGACATTTTGTACACGAGAGTGACGAGGCTTCCCTTATAAGTTTCATGGTCAAACATGCATGTTTTGTGTGTAACGTCTCGTTGTGTGGACCAGGGAGTCGAAGCGTGCAGCGAGATCGCTTGTCCGGGCCACGCTCGGGGTCATCAGGTCAAGGCCATGATCACGACCGTGAGTTGCACAGGCCACGGGATCACGTAGAACTTCTTAATCCGGTAGTCGAAAGCGCACACCGTTTCGGGTACTATGGTCTCGTGTGCCTTACTCCCTAGATGCCACTACTCGCTGGTGTTGATAGCATCATGGCCTGTGCTGTATGACATCACCATGGCCTGTGCTGTATGACACAATGCGGGGACAAAACATGTTGGGTACTGGGCATGGTGTACGTAAGCTTACGAAATCATTGCTCGTGCAGAAATCATCTGCTTTCTAGTGTGTGGGCACACCGGAAGAGGCAATCATAGTAACTGCAGTAGGTCAGATCCTACCGTAATACTCACTAACGTTACACACCAGTTCAAGTCCAAGGCGTACCGGGTACTGTACTGGTCTCAGTAGCACGCCACCAGCGACTCGTGCAGGGGAAGCATTCTGCATGTACATGTGCATGAGCTGCTGGCTCGAATTTCTAGACCAGGTAAACATGCACAGCCCACTGTTCCCTACAATTCTGAATACCGGCCTATCATCATTGAAACGGTGGGACTTTCCCCTGCACGTTTGTCATTCCTGTGCTTCCCCATCCCGTACCACAAGACCGGCATAAGGCTTGAGGGGAATACGTGCAGCGTACCCAACAAGACACAGCAGACGAGCTACTGCAGCGCCACCCTATACTCACCAGTCTTGCCAGGTAGCAGAGGACTTGACCGTCTCGCTCCAAGAACTTCACGACGTCGGTCTTCGGCGGTTGCGGGATCAGGTGCAGGCAATTCTCTCTAGTGTCGTCCAGTGCACCAATGCCAGTATGTGGTGGGAATGACTACAAAAATACACGGCAAAAAGATTAACCACCGTGCCGTTAGTAACTTATTGCATGTATTTGCTTTTGGCAATATCAATCAGGGATGAATTTATCCTGTATCGCATCGCAGTTTGCGATGCAAAATCGATCTACTGCTACTCAAAAGTCACCGTGACTTGCAGAAAACTGCGATACATACAGACTATCCATGCCTAGCCTGCACTGTCAAGTAGCATGCATACAGTGCAGTGTATGTGGTGCAGGCCCTCTCAATCTGAGGGCACATGTATGATTCAGTCGGGTTTTTTTGCAAATGGGCTTTCAGGCATCACTCTCAAGAAGGACAATGTGGTAAACACCCAACCTTCAAAGAAAAATGCTAATCAAAATCAAAGACTGCTACACAATTGTGAATTTGTATAGCCAAAACTGCTATGCAAAAATATGACAATAAATTCATCCCTGTCAATCATTACAATGGTGTTGATTTTGGGAGAAGCCGACTACATGTACTGTGGAGATTGTGTACTACTTTGAAGTACTACTACTAGTATGACTGTACATGTACATGCCACTGATATCAGGGCACCCTCCAAAGCAAGACTCAAAGACGTTGATGGGAAATTCCCTGATCTACACATGGATGACAGTGCCACAGACACATGATAGTACCCAGCTGCATTCACTTGCCAGCCCACAGTAAGGCATGCTAGCCCGGGGCTCTAACACTAGGCTTACGGCAGATATGTGTGTTAGTAGGCTGTAATGTGTATAGAGAGACGTGCAGTGAGTCAAGAGACATGACTCACACTGCACCTTCACAACAATTATGTCGACCACACCCGCCATCACTGTATCGTGAGAGGAAATATGCATGCGGCTACATGTTTCCCCCGACTTACTCGCTCCGTTTGTCCCGGTCCTCTTGTGGATGGTGTCTCCACATCAAGTGGCTCAAAGTCCGTGATGCCAAAGTGTTTCCTGTAGTAATCCTTCGTGAACTCATCACAGCTGTACCTGTAGGGAGCGGACGTGAGCAGGCAGCAGACTGCCGGAGTTATATCCAGATTGTGTGCCGGATGAGCGGGACTGTGCGATTTTTCAGTGTATGGCATACATGTACAGTGTACAAGCATCATGATTGTATGTAGTGTGTAGTGTGTGTGTGTATGGCTCAGCATCAGTGCAGGGAATTCTGCACATCCACTCCTGAACGGTATGCAGTAGGCTGGATTAGTGAATGCAATTTAATGTCACTGCCGCTGGATATCAAGTTCGCTGTAGTGCAAATAGCCAGTTTTGGTGATCAGCGGTATAGAGGCTATGCGATTGTGTCATCATTTGGGATGCATTGGCTGGAGTGGCAGAGTGCAGTTGTTTGCCATTCAAAACTAGCACTCGCCGTTTTTATCTTTTGCCACTCAATTCAAACTTGCCACGCAGATCTCAACAGAAACTAGTACAACCATGTCCTGTGTGCCATTCAACGCCATAGCCGCACTGTGGTTTCCACTCAATGAACTCCATACACAACACATGCAATGACCTCATTCAATGCAATGACTTCATTCGCACAACCTGTATTCCGTGGATGTTCAGCAAATACAATCAGTCCAGAGAGAATGCTGGACACCAAACAGACCCGCAAGAGATGGGTAGAACAGAACCGCACGGGGTGGGTAGAATCAAATAACGTTATGAGCCTTCACTTTGCAAGGACTTACAGAAGGAATGAGCGGCCATTGATCTTGACAGTATCACCAATGCGGAAATCGGCCGGTGTGAAGTACTCCTTCACTTCATAGTCGGACAGCTCCATGGTAATGGTTGGAAAGTCCCCTGTCAGCACAATGCGCATAGGGCAGCAACAGGTCAGTGCATCAATACAGGCAAGATGTGAGTTAGATGCAAGACGAACCTAGGCGTACTGAGGTCAGCTTGCATTCAGGACAACTACCGTGCATGCGATCTGAATGGATGCATAATGCACAGCAAAACGTCAGGGAAGTGCACTGTGGATATTACTAGTACAGGTGGAATCCTGATAATTCGAATATGGCTTAATTCGAACATACCGCTTAATTAGAAGTTTTTCCAGGACCGATTTCTATCAATACGATTCCCACATAAAAAATCTGATAATTAGAACCTCGAACTGGATATGTCCGGTTAATTAGAAGTTCCACAGATTCCACTTGCATAGAAAATGTGTGGGATTTGTGCTGATAATTCGAAGTTAGCAAAGTGTAATTCGAAGTTCACTGTACATTGTACTGGTCAGTTCAGTTTGCATGAGAAGGCTGTGCCGGTCAGTTCAGTATCCGTGAAATCTGTGTCTAAGGTCCATAGCGCAACTCTGCGTGACCATGAGAGCATTTTGACATACATATTGTGTTGTGGGTTCATGTTTGGATAATTAGAATGTCCGGATAATAAGAAGTTTTTTCCTGGCATTTTGAGGTTCGAATTATCAGGATTATTAACTGGTTTGAGGGAAAGAGACAAACGGGAAAAGTCTGAAGAAAAAATTGACTGTCACCACCAGGATTCCACCTGTATTCTAATTTTAAAAGGTGAACAGTCATTTCGGCACTGTACTGACTATGTGAGTATTAAAGGCTGCACAGTACCCAGCATTAGCTGACCCACGGTCACGGTGCCTAGATTGCAATGGACAGCACCGTATGTGTAACCCGCTATACAGACTTACGGTTGACATCGAATGGGTTCTTGGCTATCTTGGCCCTGCCGATGAGCGCTGGGAACGGGTCATAGCCATCGTTCTGTTTCCGAACTTCTCTCACCTCCAGCGTGTCATCGACCAAGTAGTAGTGAATTATCTGTTAGCACATTAAAACAACAGTACAACCAAGGACTCGTATGTACTGTGCTCGTATCAGGTTGCCTCGGGCAGCATGTAGTAGAACATTTCCAGTACAAGTACTGTAGTGGCTTGTATAGAAGACTGTCTTGTATAGAAGCCTAGCACTGACATCGGCTTATACGGCCGTAAGCACCTGCTTTATATGCCACATTATGGTATGTGTAGTCTAGTACGTAAACATGCATTATCCGTGCTAGCACAACATGCATTATCCGTGCTAGTACGACATGCATTATCCGTGCTAGCACAACATGCATTATCCGTGCTAGTACAACATGCATTATCCGTGCTAGCACAACATGCATTATCCGTGCTAGTACAACATGCATTATCCGTGCTAGCACAACATGCATTATCCGTGCTAGTACAACATGCATTATCCGTGCTAGTACAACATGCATTCTTGCGCAATGTGTGCATACTGAAAGTCATAACCCTACAGTGATACCTACATTCCCTGGCAATGCAGGAACTGAGCTAGACAAGGACGTCGGCAATAGTATTGTTATACCTCGCCGCACCACATCACACCGCACTGTGCTCTTGGCTAGCCTGGGTGATGCGTACACCACCACAGCACTGTATTCGCCGATCAATAGCATCAAGACCATCACTACGTTGGACATCACGGCATATTTGTAGTTGCCAGTAGCCACTTGCCACACACACACGCACGCACGAACACACACACACACACACACACACACACACACAGGGTAACTCATGCGTCACGCGAGGACTTACAAAGTGACGCGCGTCACCGAACATTTCACCGCGATCGTCCCAGATTGCATGGAACCGCAGAACTTTTCGGTCCATCGTCATGAACTGCCGCAACTTGTCGAAGTCCGGCTGCGTGACGTGTGAGTAAGTGAGAGGAATTCTGGTTTGCATGTAGGGATCGGACGGCGGGTCCTCCGCGGCCTCTACGACAATACCTTGGCTCTCCAGATAGTTCTGTCAGCAGACCGGGTTAGGAAAGCACGGTACAATCACATACAAATTCACTACACAATTGCACTGCCAGCCTGTTCTCACCGGGGATTCCACAACGGAATAGACTAGAGTCAAGAACAATGAAGGTGGAGTATTGTTTGAAGCAGTGTAGGTCATCTCCCTCGCTGTTGTACGAATATTAGCACCTAGCCCAAGCATGGTTAGCACCTAGCCTAAGCATGGTTAGCACCTAGCCTAAGCATGGTTAGCACCTAGCCTAAGCATGGTTAGCACCTAGCCCAAGCATGGTTAGCACCTAGCCCAAGCATGGTTAACACCTAGCCCAAGCATGGTTAACACCTAGCCCAAGCATGGTTAACACCTAGCCCAAGCATGGTTAGCACCTAGCCCAAGCATGGTTAGCACCTAGCCCAAGCATGGTTAGCACCTAGCCCAAGCATGGTTAGCACCTAGCCCAAGCATGGTTAGCACCTAGCCCAAGCATGGTTAGCACCTAGCCCAAGCATGGTTAGCACCTAGCCCAAGCATGGTTAGCACCTAGCCCAAGCATGGTTAGCACCTAGCCCAAGCATGGTTAGCACCTAGCCCAAGCATGGTTAGCACCTAGCCGAAGCATGGTTAGCACCAAGCCTAAGCATGGTTAGCACCTAGCCTAAGCATGGTTAGCACCTAGCCTAAGCATGGTTAGCACCTAGCCCAAGCATGGTTAGCACCTAGCCCAAGCATGGTTAACACCTAGCCCAAGCATGGTTAACACCTAGCCCAAGCATGGTTAGCACCTAGCCCAAGCATGGTTAGCACCTAGCCCAAGCATGGTTAGCACCTAGCCCAAGCATGGTTAGCACCTAGCCCAAGCATGGTTAGCACCTAGCCCAAGCATGGTTAGCACCTAGCCCAAGCATGGTTAGCACCTAGCCTAAGCATGGTTAGCACCTAGCCTAAGCATGCTTAGCACCTAGCCTAAGCATGGTTAGCACCTAGCCTAAGCATGGTTAGCACCTAGCCTAAGCATGGTTAGCACCTAGCCCAAGCATGGTTAGCACCTAGCCCAAGCATGGTTAACACCTAGCCCAAGCATGGTTAACACCTAGCCCAAGCATGGTTAGCACCTAGCCCAAGCATGGTTAGCACCTAGCCCAAGCATGGTTAGCACCTAGCCCAAGCATGGTTAGCACCTAGCCCAAGCATGGTTAGCACCTAGCCCAAGCATGGTTAGCACCTAGCCCAAGCATGGTTAGCACCTAGCCCAAGCATGGTTAGCACCTAGCCTAAGCATGGTTAGCACCTAGCCTAAGCATGGTTAGCACCTAGCCCAAGCATGGTTAGCACCTAGCCCAAGCATGGTTAACACCTAGCCCAAGCATGGTTAACACCTAGCCCAAGCATGGTTAGCACCTAGCCCAAGCATGGTTAGCACCTAGCCCAAGCATGGTTAGCACCTAGCCCAAGCATGGTTAGCACCTAGCCCAAGCATGGTTAGCACCTAGCATGGTTAGCACCTAGCCTAAGCATGGTTAGCACCTAGCCTAAGCATGGTTAGCACCTAGCCCAAGCATGGTTAGCACCTAGCCCAAGCATGGTTAGCACCTAGCCCAAGCATGGTTAACACCTAGCCCAAGCATGGTTAGCACCTAGCCCAAGCATGGTTAGCACCTAGCCCAAGCATGGTTAGCACCTAGCCCAAGCATGGTTAGCACCTAGCCCAAGCATGGTTAGCACCTAGCCCAAGCATGGTTAGCACCTAGCCCAAGCATGGTTAGCACCTAGCCCAAGCATGGTTAGCACCTAGCCCAAGCATGGTTAGCACCTAGCCCAAGCATGGTTAGCCCAAGCATGGTTAGCACCTAGCCCAAGCATGGTTAGCACCTAGCCCAAGCATGGTTAGCACCTAGCCTAAGCATGGTTAGCACCTAGCCTAAGCATGGTTAGCACCTAGCCCAAGCATGGTTAGCACCTAGCCCAAGCATGGTTAGCACCTAGCCTAAGCATGGTTAGCACCTAGCCTAAGCATGGTTAGCACCTAGCCCAAGCATGGTTAGCACCTAGCCCAAGCATGGTTAGCACCTAGCCTAAGCATGGTTAGCACCTAGCCCAAGCATGGTTAGCACCTAGCCCAAGCATGGTTAGCACCTAGCCTAAGCATGGTTAGCACCTAGCCTAAGCATGGTCAATACTACCACTATGTAAATATAGCTGTGGTGTTCTCCCTCACCTGAATCTCTCTCTCTCTCTCTCTCTCTCTCTCTCTCTCTCTCTCTCTCTCTCTCTCTCTCTCTCTCTCTCTCTCTCTCCCTCTCTCTCTCTCCCTCTCTCTCTCTCCCTCCCTCTCTCTCTCTCTCTCTCTCTCTCTCTCTCTCTCTCTCTCTCTCTCTCTCTCTCTCTCTCTCTCTCTCTCTCTCTCTCTCTCTCTCTCTCTCTCTCTCTCTCTCTCTCTCTCTCTCTCTCTCTCTCTCTCTCTCTCTCTCTCTCTCTCTCTCTCTCTCTCTCTTTGTCTGTCTATCTGTCTGTCTGTCTGTCTGTCTATCTGTCTCGGACAACAGTAGTAGGTAAATAGGTAGATAGCCAAACCACACAACATGAGCCGCAAAGCACAGCTGTATGGGTACTGGAGTGTACTTCTTGTGTTGTCATGGACTCGAGGTGCATCCCGATTTGGGGTAGTGTGATCTCGGAGCTTCTGAAGAATCAAACAGCGTGGACTCGAGAAAACAAATCCAATCTACGAGATCTTCACGAGACTCTAACCCAGACCTGGCCCATTGGCTCATTTCGTGTAAAACAAACGAGTCACTGAACTCATATATTGTGTAATGTGGCATGCAGCTTACCCGCGTATAGTGGTCACAGTCGTAGACGTGAAACATTCTGCCGTAGAAGTTGACATCCATTCGAAGGTTGAGGTCCTTCCAGTGCCAATACCCACCCTGCATATCTTTGGGCAAGCGCTGGCGTTTGATCAGCTTCCCTTGCGGAATGCCACTGTGAATAGGAGTGTGTGTAGGGAAAGAGCCAATGTACAAACACATTTAGAGGTGAATCCAGAGCCTTCCACACAAGACAAATTAATGCCTTCACAAGTCTCCCACTAAGGTGTGTGCATACTGCATTAATATACGGTCACAATAGACCGATCCCCTTATTATTGTCTGGGTTCGAGCAAGGGGGCAACTCCGCAGTCGCGTGGGATCCTGCTGCACACACGCGACCAACCTCACCTCGGCTTTGCGTGACTTCTCGCATGCGAAGTGCAGATGCAGAGCACGCGAAATCTACACGCAGTGCAAGCCTGTCTACAAAAATGCCACAAGGACTTTTGATTTGAGCTGTTTTGTTTTTGTTTAGACGTCTTCCTTTTTACGACTTCAGGATGCCTTCTCAGGATCATTGCTGCGTTCCTCACTGTCAGAACAGGAGGACGAAGCAAACAAGTCATTTCACTCCTTTCGTCGTGTGGAGCCACAGCGGCCTGGAGCAAGCGGATCCAGGCTATTCCCCGTGAGGAAGGACGTAGTTTTAGGGTCACTCTGAATATTTGAGATGCAGCGATCATTTCGATCCCGAAGTCGAAATCGTTTTGCCCAGCTCTACAAGGGCAGGATGAGTCCAGGAAACCAAACAGCTGTCCTACGGTACCAGGTTTGCTTTTCGCAAGAGAGTGGAGTCTGGACGCTCTGCTCCCCATGCTCGCAAAACAGTATTTGGTGAGCCTAGTGCAGTTCGGTCATGGAAGTGCAGCGTCTGCATCACGAGCTCCCCATGCTCGCAAACCAGTATTTTGCTGAGAGGCAACGGCATTTTGAGTTGGAAAGGAACCTGGCTTAGTGCAGTTTGGTCCTGTAATGGAAGTGCAGCATCTGCATCAGGAGTTGGCAGCAAGTAGAGCTCGTGTACAGAGTCTCATGGAGCAGTTGGACGATGGGGTGAAGAAAGCCGAAAAACAGCTTACGTACAATAACATAAAGAAAGACTCTGAGCCGCGCCAGTTTCTGACTGGTTTGCCTTCAGGTGTTTGGACCGCTCTGTGGGACTTCTTTGAGCCTAGCCGAGAAAATGTACTGCGCCGAGCCAGATCTGCGAAGACGGAAGCTGAGGGACGGCGGATACAGTTGGAGGTGGCCGTAAATCGCCAACGAGCATGTAATGGAGGATCAGCTGCTATTGGCATTGATGTGTCTAAGCCTGGGCCGTATGGGACAGAAGCTGTAATGCGTGGCACAAGTTAATCATCCGTTTCACGGTATATACTATATAGCTAGCCGAGCTGGAAAGTTGTCTTGTTCCTCCGTTTGGGCATGATCCCCATTTGGGCGAGCTGGCGAGATGTTCAGTCATCAATGCCATGTACCGCAAGACATTCTGCATTGTGGATGAAACAGTTCTATTTTGCCATGCACTTAGGGTTCTCGCACCGGCACAACAAGACCCAACAGATCCTTGCGCTCTTATTTTCTCCCATGGTAACATTGCTGATCACAACACCCAGTAGCCAGTCGCAGATGCAACCAAATCAACCAGGTTCTCTTACTCTTTTTTTCCAATACTGAAACCAAAGGTATACCAATATTTGCATCGAATGCAGTGATGATTTCAATACTGTCCACTAGTACAACGCATTACCAGACTGGCATATAATCATGATAATATTATCCATTTCGCAATCACTGTCATTGCTTTCTTAGATCTTCAATCATCAATATCGGACCATAAACCGTCTATCATCTTCTATTATATCATCATTTGTATCATGCTACTATCCTCCTCTAACGATGAGCTCGAAGAAAAGAAACAGCGGTCTAGAGTAAACAATATCTGTCAACGGAAGTGTCCTTGCTGTGCTGGTGTGTTTATGCTTCGTGCATTAGTTCGGCCAAGAGCGCATGGTGGTGGCGGGTTGAGGATGTTAAATATACTAGAAAATAGTTCACTCTGAACGTGCAGGGGGGTATATTCATAGGTTCGAAAGAACCGCACACACACTTTGCTGCAGACAGCGGCAAGCTTTGGCCCTCGTGCTTCTAAGAGGGAGCAATCCACTGCGCTACGCTTGCGATTAACAGCAAGCTTCGACTTTTCAAAGGTACGACTCATCATTGGCTCTGGGGTAATGTTCCTGGAACAAATGCCCCATAGCCAACTGAGGGCCAGGGAGCACGCAATCTGCCTTCCTGGGCGAGAAGTGTTCCAGCACAAGAAGCAGCACGAATACATGCTGACAAAGACCACCATCACCACCAGCCGGCACACAGCACACTGTTCTTCAAACACCATCCACTCCGTCCATGTGTTTGCACTGTCCTCCTCTAGCTCTTCACGCTCAACAAATAACACGCACTGCTCATCGTTTTTTTATGCTTCCTCTGGGTTGGCTAGCCCTTCGACTTGACAAAACAGCGATCACCACTGCACTGCTATCGTCACCTCATAGCAGTCGCTTCCACCAGCGGCTTTTCCTGTCTTTGCAAGGTGTCCAAGGATGGCTGCTGTTGTCATTACAGGCAAATCAGAAGTACTTTAGTGGCTGATGTCCAACCAGATCGTTGGAAAATCGATTTTCCACTTCAGGGCTGCTGATCGCGACTTGGTGACTTGGCAGCACCACGGTTACCTTCATAGAAGATGGCTCTGGAGAGGAAAAGACAGACCAGAAAAAGGTTAATATTATCTTCAGCACCGATCGCAAGGAGAAAGAAATGTGGTCTGCTGTAGCCTACAGGGGCGGATACAGGGGGGGTTCAGGGGGTTCGGACGAACCCCCTAAAATAATTTCGACCATGGGTCCAGTCGATTTTTTTGTGATATCCCCGTGCGCAGCCAGCGAAGTGTAGCGTACATCATGGCACATGCAGCGTAGCCAGTAGACTTCACTGGCATGCATCCTGCATGCAGTAGTCACGTACAGGCAGTGCAGGTACTAGGTCACTGCATGCATGCAGTGGTCGGGACTGTTGTACGCGTAACGTTCGAATCGAAGGGTCTGTACGCGTATCATGTGACTGGAAACGATCGACAGTTCAAGTGGTGGAGCCAAAAGGTGGAAAAACTGCCACTTGTCCTCCTTCCTTGTCGTTTTGTTTTATTTCGCGCTGGCTGGACTGTAGGTTTCCTCCGTCGCAGTACGAAGATAATGTTTGTGTTTGTCGTGTAGTTTGCCATGTCGCGGTGGAGGAAAAGGTGGAGAAACTACCACTTGTCCTCCTTACCTTCCTTGTCGTTTTGTGTTTTTTCGCGCTGGCTGGACTGTAGGTTTCCTCCGTCGCAGTACGAAGATAATGTTTGTGTTTGTCGTGTAGTTTGCCATGTCGCGGTGGAGCAAAAGGTGGAGAAACTGCCACTTGTCCTCCTTACCTTCCTTGTCGTTTTGTTTTATTTCGCGCTGGCTGGACTGTAGGTTTCCTCCGTCGCAGTACGAAGATAATGTTTGTGTTTGTCGTGTGGTTTGCCATGTCGCGACGTCTGCCAAAGAGGCGAGCGGCCGATGCCAGTTGCCATTGCCGCATTGGGCTTGGCTTCGTTCCGCCGTGTACGACGCGAATGTGACCACACGCAGTCCCAGCCGGAGGACAGTCAGAGAACTTCGCCTTCCGTCAGTTCGGAAAATGCTGCAGTCACGGCTTTAGTTTCTGCCTGTGCTGCAGCTTTGTACTTTGTAAAGCTCTAAACGCATTATTACCCTTGTCTTGTTGGCCAAGCAATGCAAGGGCTACAGTGACAATAAAGATTTTGCAACTCCTGGTGTAGTGAACGAACCGAAAACAGTTTGAAGCGAATTTAATTCTGTGCACTCGAAAAAATTTGAACCCCCCGTGAAAAATTCCTGGATCCGCCCCTGGCCTAGGCACAAAATAAATCTCACAACACGATTCGCGATTCGAATATTTCAACAACAAAAAAACTCACCTCTGGAGTAACTCCTGTTTGTGGCCCGAGATCGTACCCTCCCGCGCCTTGAAAAAATCCTGCAGCGGCATCACAGTCCATGTCTCTCTCGGAGACTCTGCTCCTACCAGCAGGAGGTTTAGCACCGCTCGAAGCCATCGCAAACTACATGAACTAAGCAGAAGACATTCCAAAACAAACCTGAAACACACTGTCAAAGATGCTGTCACGTTCAAAAACTAGCTCGATCGCGAGTGAGGTTGCCCCCGTGCTCGAACCCAGTATAATAAGGGGATCGGTCTATCGTGTGCTATACACCAGCTTGGACAAATATATCATGGGTCTGTGCAAGATGTCAAATCCAAAACTATTCCTTAGGCCAGGACTGATGTGTTAAGTTACCTGTTTTCTACTATGGGTTCTGTCACGGAAATGGAACCGTCTTCCAGGTAATAGTAGATCTTGACGATTCGCACCCGGTAGTACTCCTGAGCAGATTCGTGCACCGTTTCCTGGAAGTAGGCATTGTACAAGAGCACCTGTACACGGGTGGGAGAAGGGCGAACAAAATCAGTTGAGCATATACAACACGTATGCACGTGCATGCACATCAAACATGCTCTCTCTCATAGACATACACACACGCGCACGGGCACGCACGCACGCACACACACACACACACACACACACACACACACACACACACATGCGTATGCGGTGTACATGATACGGGGCTTCACACTTTGTTGGGGAATACTCTTCCTGATGTTTTTCAATCTTGCCGGACATATTGTCTTTGGTAACAAGCAGGAGTGGTTGACTGAGGAGTTTACAGTAGTCTAGCCAGAGCCTGACTGAACTGGTAGATCTGGCATGCAAAACTTCACTAATCACACATACCTTCTTGTCAAATGCCACGTGCGCCGGAACGAACGTGACTGGCTGCGGTGGTTTGGTTTCTCCGTACGTTAGCGTTGGCCTCAGCCTGGCCAGCTCATCCAGCTCAGCTGGAGTCAATTGGTTGAATGGAATATCATCGCCGCCGATGCCGCAGTTCGGGCGCACTTTCGGCAGCGCATACCCGTTGCGATAGGACAGCGTCTGGTCGACATGGTAACGTGCTTTCTGCTCAACACACATGGCAAAGGTAACAACATACCACGAGACAATCAACAGAAACTATATTATGACATCCTGGTGATGTGTGAAGCAGTAAAGACCTCACAGTGCATGAAAGGCCCTGACAAAAGATATGGCACAAGTCAGGTTATGCGGAGTTTGTATCAAACCGAAGCAAGTGTACTACTGTAGTGTCTTGTAGAAAAGCCGGTCTCCTATAGAAGCCTAGTTTGTTTACGAGCCTGATTTGGAACATGCTACAAGAAGAAACCCGGCATTTAGAATAATTAGTGCAATCAAGAGTACAAATAATGTACGTGGCCTGTCGCAGAAGTTGAAGAAAGTTCAACTCCTGCGACATGATGCGTGACATACACAACTGGGTACAGTTTCTGCTCTGGGTGCACGTGAAGTGCACGTGCGTAGTACATGCACTGCAAAAAACGTAACACTTGTGAATCATGTCGCGGCCGCAGCTCGTCGCAGGTGTCGCAAAAAAATAGTATGTATTGTGAATCGGCCTTTACAGTATGAATGGGGTGCCTTTAGGGCTCAACAAGAGTCAGAAGCCGCGAACGGCTAGAACATGTAGCGGAGTCAAGAAATCAATGCCTTCTGTCTGTTACGGACTTGTCAGTTTGAGCACTCTTGGCAAGGTACATTCGGGCCTGGTTCAAATTGAATTTTTCATCACTATCAGGTTCGGCCTCATTTTCTCTGCGCTGTGCTGACGAGTTCACCAGGGACGAAACAGTTCAGGCTGTCCGAAGATTGAGTATCTGCTAGGTATTGTGGCCAACTGTTATAAAAAATTGTGTGGGCGTTTCTACACGTACACGAAGATGAAATAAGTGTGGACCATCCAGTCTGCGAAGACACTAGCCACTATGATGATAATCGAACCAGGACCAGGACCAAATCCGGGACGCTTATACATGTAGCTGAGTACAGTACCGGCGCTGCCTGTGTAAAAGTAACCATAAGGCATAACTGACAATTCGCTGCCGAACTACTAGTACTACTACTAACTAGACACCATGTTCATGTGGCTGGTGGGACCAGTTAGAACCTACATGCACAATGTACTTACCGTCGGGTCTTTGAACGAATTGCCCGGCAAGAATGGTAAGCCAGCCGTCTGCAAGAGCGGCTCTGGTGGCTGTCCCAGGCCCTGAACAGCATGCGGTGCACCTGAAGTTTGAGTGGACGTCATTATCGTGAAAGCATTGCCAGACAAGCCACCACTATGTGCGATTTCCAAACCCGAACACGACTAGGGTCTGTTAGTTTTGACTAAAAAGCAAGTTGCCTCGTAGCTTTGTTGAACCTTTGCACAAGTTTGTCGTAGTTGCAGTCTGCGATTCGAGCTAGTTTCACCAAGGATCTTTCCAGTTCAAAAATGCTCTGAGCTAGCCTACTTACTTCGACTGATAACCATGATCACGACAGGCAGCGCTACTGACTGACTGTGTAACTATGCGATCAAGGCATAGCATAATATCGATAGCATGCAACAGCTACTAACTTTTTTAGAAACCATGGCGACCACGAGTTACCAGGGTAACCTTTCACTCAGGGGACACTAAAAACTCCCTCCTGATCCTTTGTCTTGTTCAGACTTCACTGTCACCTTGGTCACCAGGTCACCATACCAAGTCCAAGGCAAGGGTCTCGTATACATGGTATACCATGGTATACAGTCTCTCACTCTCAGCTCACGCACTCAACACTACACTACTAGAGTCATGTATGGTATGTGTGGAACCGTAGCCTAGCCGTAGGCTGTGTCTCTCTGAAGAAAGCAAGTACAGGCCCAGTGCACTGGCTTGCTCTTCAGTGTTACAGACTGCCAGTCGCTGTGAATGCTCCCTTGCCTTGGCATGGTACTTGGTAGAGCTTTCAAGGCATGTTGGTAGAGAGTCATCTTTATGATTCAATTCACAAAATCATTGTGATACCGAAAGCCGGTGAAGAACCATTAAAATTAATGGTTCTTCACTTTCGTTATCACAATGAATTTTGAGGTAAACTGTACTACTAGCTAAAATTAATACACGTAGGTACTGATGGTGATTACTGATAGGGACATTCCAGTCGATACCCAGAGTGTCACGATACTAGAGCAGAGTCAGCGGAATTCACGGGGGACAGTACAATCTGTATTTCCATGCAGTTGAGAAAGCCAAAATCACAGTGCATAGAAGATGGCTGTCACACAGGAAGTAACTTGACTAATTTCACAGGTCCAATGCATGACAGCCAGGGAGTCGTACCCAAACTATACTGCAGTAAAACCGGTAACTCAAGACCACCGTGACTAGTGACCAGCCTGCTACTACAAACCACTTCGCCAGGCACGGACGGTCTCACATTCATGTATGGTTGTACAACTGTGCAGTGCAAACCTCTAACCAAGGACCACCTCCCACTAAAGACCGCTTTCTCTGGGCCCAAGGGGTGGTCGTTAGTCACAGGTTATACAGCATAGCTGTTTGGGTGAGATTACTTGTTGGCAAGCTAGCAAGGACAATATCTACACTTGTACACTCAAACGTCTCTTATCCGGACGCCGCAGATATACACACACATATACATACACACACACGCACACACACACACAATCAAGCGATGAAGACGCTGGCCACGCCAGGTGCTGTTAACGCTACGTTAACGTCTTTGGTCTTTGCATAGCTTTGGGTAATAAACACTGCCTAAACCAGTGGTGCCAGAGCTAAATGTACATGTTAGTGCTGCTGTCTGATGATCGCCGAAATGCGTGAAACTTAAAGCTACAGCTCAACAGCCCTTCGCCTCCAGTGTTTGTGTATATATGTTCAGCACACAATATTAAAAAAAGGGAACCGGACACGAAAATTATGCAAATAAAACACAAAATTGCATCCTGTAGATACCTTGAAAACAAGCCGTTATATCACGGGAAGTGGGATGATAAGGTGTCGGCAACACATTGATAAATACGAAAAAAATACACACAGATTCAAGTAACAAACACTCTCAAAACAAATAATTGTGACCAGCACATATAAACACAGGCATGCGAATAAAGTGCACACCTGTTTGTTCATACGTCTACCAACACCACGCGCATCGCTGTGCGTGAGTAAATAGCAGAACACGCATCAGGTCTTACTCTGGCAGGTCAGGTTCTCCTAGGCAGGCGGTTCGACCCGGCTCCTCATTTTCGCTCAGCACTTTGACCTTCTCCAGCGCGGCCGAGTAGGACGTATTCTCAGACAGCTCCGTCTCAGACACCATTCTACGTACAAAAGCAACAGGCAAAGCAAACAAGACAAGGTGAAATCCGTAGGCCCAAGCATTACCATAGGACACATAGAAGCGCGCATAGCTCAACGCAAGGAGTAGTAAAATACCTCCCTGGCTCAGAGCATACCTTTTCTTATGTCTGAGCTATCAACAGATTATCCTACACACCAGTATCATACTGCACAGTGGGGTCTACTGCTCTTCAGTAAAATGTATCTCCAACATCTCTGTAAAATTTAGATTTCCGTAGCAGAGAACAGGGTAGTGCTTTGACTCGGATGGAGAGCCAAGGACACATTTATAGAAAAGAAAGTTCTCATAAGTTCTCATAATAAGTTCCTATATTAAACTTAGAACCTTCCAAGTTGGAAGGCTGTTGGAGTGCACATCCAAGATGTGCTAGTGCTAGAGCCGATAGCCAGTTAGTTGTAGAACGTCAGTAGTAGCGTACCGTCGGTCAGTGTCGTGCAATGTCATCGCATGAGCTGATTGTTTAGTAGTTGGTGGCGTTAGTGGACATTATAGCGTAACTTGCAGTTCCTTGGTCCTCATTCTTTTCTATAAATTCTACAAAAGGTGTCTCTAAACTGGAAACACTTGCAAAAGTCAAAAGTCAAAAAATAAAATGCTACCAACATGAATACAAAAAGGAGGTTTTAGTAGATATGAAACTGAAATACTACGATATTTCAAAAAATCTGGTTTTGCAAAAGACTGTGCCTAGCCAGGTCAAAATAGTAGGAGGGCGGGCAGGGAAAACAGTTACGACTTACGAGGTAACCCATTTTCCAAAATTGTCTTCCCATGCAAAATGCAATGTACAGGGGTGAACCCCCGACTTCACCCCAGACAAGTGTGCCTTTCTCAACCCTCTGTTACTGAATATCGACTGCATTTTCGTTGAATGGCATGAAGAAACGCAAAGTCGACACATGAATGTAGGTTGTAGTGTGTGAAGGAAGTACCTGACACGTACAGACCGTACAAAATACATGACTTCATGATAGAGACATGGCACAGAAATGACAACTAACCTTTCATCAACATGGACCAAGCTGCCCTCTTCTTCTCTTTCTTCTTCTTTCACACACACACTGCTGCCCTGCACTGTGTCACCAGCAAGCGGGGATGAATGCCCTGCAGAAGACTGGCTATCGCTAGCAGAAGTTGATACCGGTACAGACTGAGAAGAGCTGTTGCCCGTGCCCGACGACACTTTTTGCCGTTTCTGTCGTCGCCGCAGCACTGCTCTGGAGCCTGGACTGCTGGAACCTGACCGCACCGGTGTCCGAAGCACTGGCGGTCGAGCCGAGGCATGCCGCACACCGCTTGGTTGATGATCGCGGCAGCGTGCAGACAAGCCGGGCGGTGACGATATCAGCGGCTTCATGCGCTGCTGTGAGTAGGGCGATGACATCAACGGTCGCCGGGAGACAGATAGCTCTTCGCGTGCAGTAGCTACCGTGCTCGCCGATGCTGGTGATACTGCAGCTGCATGGCTATCGGAAGGACGAGGCACCGCATGTATGAACCGCGGCACGTGTGAATTCATATCGTACTCTGGTCGACTTCGTAATGGAGGTCCAGTGGAAAGAGGGTATTGCTGTTCATCCGCAACTTGGAAGGTGGTGGCGGCGGCAGCGGTTGGATAAGGTAGCAGTGACTTTCGTTCCTGCTGCCACTTTGAACGAACTGGTCCAGAACCAAACGAACGTGAGAGCAAAGGTGGCGGGGCCTGGTTACGGCAATCTTGGCTTGCAACAGACTGTGATTGGTTGTTTGTTGCAGGTTCAGTGCATGAAGCATCGAGCGCATTGCGTGGAGAAGTGTCCCGTGGTAATAATGGTCTCCGGCGTGTTCCCGCTGACATTGTCGCAATATCAATTGCATTATTCCTGTCGACGGGCTGTGCTTGTAACAACTTCTCTGAGTTGGTCGATAACCGGTCGTGCACTGAGCGCTGCATCACCATATCCAAAGGAACCTAACACAGGACACCCAACAAACATTACAAGCACAAAAACAGTATTCAGACAGGACACAGGAATACTAATAGAACGAGTATATGTACGTATATGCGTCCACGTGTGTCCATTGCAGCAGCACCACCTGTTGAATGGTGTGAATCATAGCAACACAAGTTGTCATGTTGCCGTACAATTCATGCAGCGACTATCACACACAGCACCCATAGTGGCAAGGTCACATACACATTCCATGGGCAACATCCAAGACATTCACACACTCACGGGAAAAGTTATAGAAGTGCTGAAGGCAAGGCTGCACAGTAACAGCGCTCAACAGCTAGCACAGCCACACCGAAATGGTTCAAACAGAAGCAGACTGACTTATATACCGTACTAGTATTGGCAGTACACTAGTAGGCTGCTCTAGTGCTGCTGCGTTATGCATCGCTCGCTACTTTTCGTAGTTAGAGCACTCTGGCGCTAGATCGACAAGCTACCGGTATCTTAATGTCTGTGAAGCCAAATTTGCACCATGGCCGGCAGTTCGGCTTACAAGTACTTAAAGCTCGGAGCTGTACTGATGAGGAATAGATGGCCGAAACAGCTTGCTGTCTACAACATTGGGTACGCTAGCAAACGGAATGTTAACACGGCACACACCACCCTGCTTCTGAGATCATCTACACAACTTGTAAGGTTTGCCGCAAGGAAATACTTTCATACCTGAGATGGTGCAGTGGACACAAATGGATTTACTAGCAAGCAGACTCGTTTCGGACCGGAACCAGTTGTGTAACCAGTAGCATCCACAGGACGCTTGCCATTCAAGCCGGAACCTAGAAGAGGTTGCCGGCACCCCGGGTACGCCGGGGAAACATGTTGGATGAGCGGTCGTGGTGGTTCACTGCATGCCGGTGCATGTGAGTGCTGCTGGTCTCCGCTTCCAGGGCACATCGAAGTAGCCAGTGAGCGTGCTGGCGCCGAATATGGTGACGACAACACACACACGATCCGCGGGGAGTGCGTATTGCGGACACTGTGCGGCGAGCTCAGCTGGTCGTGTGACAGGAGGGATTTTACGGTGCGCGGCTGTGACTGGCTGCAAGTAACACCATTGCTCTGAGATACACCAGACTCCCAGCCGTGAATAGTCGACACACGCCCAGAGGATTGTGGCATACTTGGAGATGCACGCTTGGTTGATGGAACTCCACACGAGACTGGTTCATTCAGGAGCGTCCCTAGCAAATTGAAAAGAAAACCCCCCAAAGCGGAACAAGTGAAAGAAAGAAAACAGAAAGGATTATAACAAGGACCATGGATTAAATACAGCAGAGAGGTGATAGAAACAACGCAAGGAAGAAGAGCCAAAACAACAGCGTAAAATGCGTGACCCGTACACATAGAAAGTCAACAACTCGTTAGTTTTTGTCCACTTGTTGTCTGTTTTTGTTGCACCGTACTTCACGCTTTGTGGGTTTGCTCACACTTACAACTTTTCCCGAATACTTTCTATGTGTAAGGGTCATGCATTTGACGCTGTTGTTTTGGCTCTTCTTCCTTGCGCTGATTGTAACAAGGAGAGAGGATAATTAACTCCAACTCAAGCTGTTTCATGCTCTAAGCACTCAACTAGCTGAAAGGTGCCTGTGCATAAAACAGAAAAGAAGTACTCTAATTTCAGAAATTTTCGGTGCTCAAAATTTCCGGTATGAGGACAAAAGGCCAGGTTAGGTGAACAGAAAATTTAGGTACAGAGAAGCAGCTCCCTATTGGATTATGTGTGTTAGTGTTTGTTCGGTGTATTGACATTTTAGGTATAAAACAGATGTACCGAAAGTACCGAAAATAAAAAGTACCGCAATCAGTAATACAAGCTGGATCGACATTTGTGTACACTGTATTCATGTATTGTAAAACTGTGGAGACAATGTGCAATAAAACGATTACTGATTGCGGTTATCAAATTGTTGTCTCCTCGCCGTTTGTTCAAATAAAAAGTACATTGAAAATTTGTGAAATTACAGTAGACAAGCCATCAAAGTCTGGCTTTGTGGCCGGATGCTGATGAAGCAAGCTGAGGATGCACATGCTCCGGTGCGGACATGTACATGTGCTACAAGTATGTGGTTGATTGAACAGAGCTGGGGAAAGTGAACGTACCGTACGCGCTCGAATACAAGCCCCCTTCGACTAGAGCCCCCTCTCAAATAGAGCCCGCCTGTCAGAGGGAATCGAAATAATAAAGCCCCGTCTCGTATAAAAGCCCGGGGCTATAATCGAGCGCGCAAAGTCCGTACGATGCAGTGCAGTACATGGACCGTGTACGGTATGCACGTGCAATATGTTGCACTTATTGCACCCAAACTGCAGTCATGGATACCTACCGTACAATGATCGAGTGCAGTCACTGCATGTACTGATCAGCAGGAATAGGGTGAAACAATTGATATTTCTATTAAAAAATAAAGCCCCCTCTTGAATAAAGCCCTCTCTCAAATATAACCCCCCTCGATGTGTCTTCTGGAAAAATAGAGCCCCGGGGCTTCTATTCGCGTCTATACGGTATCCGGTTTAATTACCGTAAAGTCGTGGATAAAAGCCGGGTTTGCATACAAGCACATCGCTGATAGAAGCCTGAAAATCAAACGGGTCAATGCATATAAGCCTGTTGCGCGTAGAAGCCTGGCTTCTATGCAAGCGCGGATCGGGTAGGTCAAGAGTGCATGCGCTATGTACAGTGCATAGTAAAACTGCCGCCATACCGATAGTCAGTGGTAGATTTACATGCATGTACACGTGTCGCGCGTAGAAGCCTGGCTTCTATGCAAGCCCGGATCGGCCGATGTGCATACAAGCCTGTCAAAAAATATCAGTGGTGCATATAAGCATGGTTTGCATTGAAGCCTGATGCAGAAAGCGGCTTATGTGCTTATAAGCCCGGCTTTTATCCGCGACTTTACGGTATTTATTTATTTTTAATGGTGTGTAGGCATGATCAGCATTTCCGTTTCTCAACACTTCGATCCAGTATATAAAATACCAGTATTCATGAGGTCGCAGGATTTGGGAAAAAGTCTGAAGAAAAATCGACTGTCACCGCCAGAACTCGAACCAGGGACCCTGGCTTATAGTCAGCGATGCTCTATCACTGAGCTGTGGGGTAGTCGTCATCCAAGCAGCAACCGTTCCACGTTTCTTCAGACTTCGAAACTCACGCTTCCTGTGAATCCAAACAGGCTAGTGCAGCCCTCACTGTAACCCACATCACAGTTAGGGGCTGTCCATAAGGCCATGGTAAAAATTATCTTTGATTCTCAAGTACGTGCGCACCGATTTCAATTTTTTTTACCATGGCCCAATTATCGATCTTTTTATGAAACTTTTTTTCGTTTTTAATATGGGTGGGTGCACCTTTACGCGGTGGTCGTTGGTGGGGAAGTAAAAAAAATGATACTGTAAAAGCAGAAATTTTCGGTGGTGTAATATTTTCGGCATTCTCCAAAATCGGCAGTTCGGTGGAGGGAAATTTTCGGTAAAACCCGTTTCCCAGGTAAGTGTACTAGCACTACATGCATACAGTACCGTAGTACCGAAATTTTCGGTAAAAAGTGTCAGCACCGAAGTTACCGAAAATAAAACACCACCGAAAATGTCTGCTTTTACAGTAGCTGAAACCAAGAGTACATGAAAACCAGAGTGTGCAGCTTGGGGCCTTTTCTGCTATGGGTGTCTGTCACGGCGAAATTCCGTGATTACATCATATTTGGCCCAGATCTAGGCGGGAAATGGCGTAGTGCGTACAACTGAGCTGCAGTTGTGCAGAAAGAGACCTGCTTGAATCCTGCTTGTACGCACTACATCACTAAAATGATGTAATCACGGAATTTCGCCGTGACAGCAACCCATCCGAGCTGCACACTCTGGTTTTCATGTACTCTTGCTGAAACATCAATCTATTCTAGCTGTCAAGTCAATATATTTTACGTTCAAGGGGGTGGGGTGGGTACCGGGTGGTGTATGGTCATAACAAAACTTTTTTCGTTCGGCAGAAATGATCGATAATGCCGGATGGCGCCTTACTTCATATACAAATTAGCGCATAGGAGCCCCAATGCAAAAGTTAATGGATTTTTTCTTTCTTTCTCATATTCATTGGGGAATTGTGTGTTGCTCCCTCCATGGGAGCTTGCGCTATTCCTACCGACTTGAATTTTCACTTGACTGACTCACGACTGCCATCCAGAGCACACGAGAGGTCCATCGAACCGTCCACTCGGCAAACCTGCAAGAAAGCACCACTTGCTGCTCAATACACAGTGTTTCGGGGAATTCACCCCTCATCAGTTGAGCTTGAGTAGGCTGAGGAAGATTGTGTCTGAAGAGCACCACGGGCTTGAGAAATAGATGGTTCGGAGGCAACACCGTTGTGAATGGCCAATGGTCCTCAGCGCTTGTTCAGCACCTCCAAGAGCGACACTGACTCACGCTGCCATCTGGTGTTCACGAGGTGTTTGTCGCGCTGGAAACGGAGCGTCTCTGTAAGTTTGTATCCTTGATGATGCTTGTGCCTGGAGAGCACTATATAAGTGGTGCTTTTCAGGCACAATCTTCCTCAGCCTACTAAAGCTCAACTGATGAAGGGTGAATTTCCCGAAACACTGTGTATTGAACAGGGAGTGGTGCTTTCTTGAAGGTTTGCCGAGTGGACGGTTCGATGGACTTCTCGTGTGCTCTGGATGGCAGTCGTGAGTCAGTCAAGTGAGAATTCAAGTCGGCAGGAATAGCGCGAGCTCCCATGTAGGGAGCAACACACAATTCCCCAAGCATTGCCGAAGTTGCACCAACCTCTTCTTCATATTCCTTGCTGTAGCAAAGCTCTTGTCTCCGTGTCGCCTATTACTAGTAGATTATTATTGATTGAACTTCTCCCATAAAATTTCCCCTGCTTCTGCTTTCTGGTCGACTTTCCATCCTCTCGGATATTGGTTATTGCGGAGCCTTGAGGATTTTAATCACACCCTTGGTGTTTTTGTTGAACTTACTCTTCACTTTAGATGATGACTGTGGACAGACACGGGATGGATGTGTCACTACTAAGAGACACTTCGTCGTAGATTGCCCAGTACTGCTGGTGTGGCCAGACTCGGCATTGTCGCAGATCAATGGCTTTCTTGAGCACATGGTCGAGGTACTAGGGATATCTATCTGCGTGACCGTCGTCCAGTACCCGGCTTAGTACTCATTCAACACACTTTTCCCACAACCGCTGATGAATTCTCCCCAGGCAGTTACTTTTGTGTACTGACAGTCTGTAGACTTCGCAGATGTGAAAGTGCAGATTCGAAACCATCCCTTTTCACACACTGAACTCCTGTGTCCCAGAATAAGATGTGTGCATTGGAACCAGCTGGAAACCACACACTACTAGCACAAGAGAATTGTAGCTTACGAGACTGGGGATTTGGGGCTTGTCTTCCACATCAGCGACATGTATCCTTTGCAAACTAGTAAACTAAAAGACAAGCAAGTGAAGCTGCAAGGAAAGTAGGCCAAAATAATAATAATCAAAATTTTAATGTCGAGAGTGTGACGTCGTAGCCTGGTATCGCGCGCAGGGAGCCCCACATTATGTGTAGGGCTCCCTGATCGCGCGTAGATATCTACGCACAGCAGTACGACGAGTAGATCTACTGTACTAGCAAGAGTCCATTCTGATTACCTTCAACCGGCTTAAAGGGGAAGTATACCCTAAAATCAAATTTTCACCAGTTGTAGTCTTCGGGGTGCTGAGTCGAATGGTCTTGGTCCGAGGAAGCTGCGACGCTCCCTTCCTACTTGAATTCCAATCGAACTCGCGCACTTCCACCGAAACTGGGTGACTGCGCCCTACTAGATGGGGATTTGTATGCAAAATGTCACTAAAAGCGCCATTTCGTTCTTATAAAAGCACGGATGACCGCGATTGGCCCATATGTTGTAGTCTTTTGGACGCTGAGTCGACTGGTTTTGGTCCGAAAAGGCTGCGATGCAGCGTTCCTCCTTTATTCCCAATCGAACATGGTTGAAGAAGCGGTCACGTGGTCCTTGTTGCCCAAATCACCTGGTCACCGCGCCAGCAGGCGACAACTTTCACACCAAGGTTCAACTCGAGTGACAGGACTGCACCCAAAAAAGGTCAAACAGGCTAGTAAGTTGTACCCTGCAGGCACGGTGACCAGGTGACTGGTGTACGCAGGAGCACGTGACCGCTTGTTCAACCATGTTCGATTGGGAATAAAGGAGGAACGCTGCATGGCAGCCTTTTCGGACCAAAACCAGTCGACTCAGCGTCCAAAAGACTACAACATATGGGCCAATGGCGGTCATCCGTGCTTTTATAAGAACGAAATGGCGCTTTTAGTGACATTTTGCATACAAATCCCCATCTAGTAGGGCGCAGTCACCCAGTTTCGGTGGAAGTGCGCGAGTTCGATTGGGATTCAAGTAGGAAGGGAGCGTCTCAGCTTCCTCGGACCAAGACCATTCGACTCAGCACCCCGAAGACTACAACTGGTGAAAATTTGATTTTAGGGTATACTTCCCCTTTAACCGTGAAGCCTGCCTACGGAACATCCGTCACCTCTGTCCCTCTATAGCGCCAGCTGTAATCAACACCTACCGCCAACCATCCCGCCTATTCGTTGATGGAGAGTGCTTGCTATCGTGCGAGGGTACCACTCAGGGTGACCCTCTGGCCATGCCCGTATATGCGCTTGGAGTCCTCCCGCTCATCAAGAAAGTTGCAGTGCCTGGTGCGAAACAGGGCTGGTATGCGGACGATGCTGCAGCCGGTGGCAAGCTAACGCCTGTTCGCCAATGGTGGGACAATCTCGTCAGCCAAGGTCCTGGGTATGGCTACCACTGCAATGCCCAGAAGTCACTCCTCCTGGTCAAGCCCTCCAGGTACGCAGCTGCTATCGAGATGTTCGAGGGGACCGGTGTGCAGGTCACGTGTGATGGTTGCCGCCACCTTGGTGCACCTTTGGGCACGGATGAGTTTATAGAACAATTTGTCCAGTCCAAGGTCGCCACCTGGTGTGAGGAAGTTGCGCAGCTCACGACCATCGCTGCATCGCAGCCACAGGCTGCCTACTCCGCCTTCACACAGGGCCTGCAAAACAAGTGGTCCTTCCTCTGCCGGACCTCCTCCATCCCGCCATCCTTGCTTGAACCGCTGGAACACGCAATCAGCGGTCAGCTCATCCCGGCCATCACGGGTCAGGCTCCACCTGGGACAACTGTTCGCTCCCTACTCTCTCTGCCTTGCCGGCTTGGAGGACTGGGTATGGCAGACCCTTGTTCAGTGGCTGAACAGTACACCTCATCCCGAAGGATCACGGCTAGCCTCGTGTCTCGCCTGCTGGAGCAGGAGTCGTCTCTTGGCGACTCTCTGACTCAGCTCCGGACGGTCAAGGCGACGGTTCGGGCCGAGAAGCGGAGCGCGTTCAAGTCTATGGCTGACGCTCTTCGCTCGGATCACCGGGAGCTGGCCCCTGTTCTCGACCTGGCCTCAGAAAAGGGTGCATCCAGCTGGCTGACCTGCCGCCCCCTCAGCCGCCATGGTTTCACACTCAGCAAGGGAGATTTCCGGGATGGCCTGTGCCTCCGGTACGGCTGGACACCTCCTCGGCTCCCAAGCCTCTGCGTGTGCAGTAAGCCGCTGAATGTGAGTCACGCCCTGTCGTGCCCGTTTGGTGGCTTCCCGACGCTGCGACACAACGAGGTGAGGGACATCACCGCCAGAGCTCTGAGGCAGGTCGCTCACAACGTGACAGTGGAACCCCACCTCCAGCCCGTCACCGGAGAGGCCTTCCGCCATCGCACAGCTGTCACGGAGGAGCAAGCTCGGCTGGACGTTGCGGCTAGTGGTGTGTGGGGTGGCCGATTCGAGCGCATCTTTATTGATGTACGGGTGTTCAACCCTTTTGCGTCTTCGAATCGTGCCACCTCCCTCGCTGCTAGCTACAGACGCCATGAACAGGAAAAGCGCCGGAAGTACGAGGAGCGAGTACGTGAAGTTGAGCATGCCTCCTTCGTGCCCGTTGTGCTCTCTGCCTCTGGTGGCTATGGCAAGCATGCCAATGCTCTTTTCACGCGCATCGCCTCTCTCCTGGCTGAGAAGAGTAAGGAGCCATACGGGCAGGTTATCTCCTTGCTGCGCTGCCGCCTTGGGTTTGCCCTGGTGCGTTGTGGTGCTATGTGCCTGCGTGGCTCAAGGAGCATGTTTGCTCCTGCCATGCCTGAGTCCCCTGCTGTGCTAGTGGCGGCGGAGGCACGCATCCAGTGAACCTGCACAGTGCAGTGATCCTACTGAGTGACAGACTCTGTAAATACTGTATCTGATGATTCGTTTTTTGTGTGTTGATTCTTCACAAAAAGTGTTATTTTGCCCGTACAAGAGGCTCAGTTTTCCGTGTGACAAAAAAAAAAAAAAAATTCTGATTACCTGATAACGCGTTAAAGGGGAAGTTCACCCTAAAATCAAAATTTCACAGTTTGTAGATTTCGAGGCGCTGAGTTCGGTGGTGAAGGTCCCATCGCCGTGCGATACGCCGTTCTGGAGATATTTGAATTTGAAATTTACCATGACGTCATGCAAAATGACGTCATGCGGCCGGCGCACACCCCCTCCACACCCTGTGACGTCAAAGAGATAGAGGTTCCCGGTCTGCTTGCTTTTCAGTGAGCGAGAAAGAGTGGCGTTTGTGGAGTTTCTTTCTTGCGACCTGAACAGTTTCAACCACGATGACGGTTTGCTGTGCTGTCGGCTGCTCTAACCAGTCTGGCAAGCCCCCTGGGACCACGGTGCATCGTATTCCGCGGGATAAAGCTCTCCGAGCGGAATGAGTTGCAGCGATTCACCGCGAGAATTTGCCACCTAAGTTTGAGGAGAGCTGTGCAATTTGTTCGGCACATTTTGAGGAGATGCCTTCCAGAGGAACTTGCACGGAGAGATGGGCAAAACGTGCCGCCGAAAGCTGAAAGCAGACGCTGTGCCATCGATTTTCCCGGACAGGCGTCCCCCAGCGAAGCGAAGGATGTCGCAGTATCAGGAGAGGCAGGAGAGAGAAGAGGTGAGTGAATGGTTCTGGTGATTTCGTGCTTTGAGAGCGTGTTGAAATTTTGTCTGTACATCGCGAGTTGGAGAGGGCAGTTTCACCCACAGTGTTGAGTACATCGTATACTTGTAGAGAAAATTATTTACAGATACCGGTACAAAGCTGTTTGCAGTGTGTTGATTGCAAGGTACTGAATGAAGACAGAAGATCGTGCAATATATTTTTGTTTTATTTCAATTCAAGTTTTACATGTCGTGAAAAGGCATACAGTGGTCACTAGCTCTGTCCTCTGCTTGGTAAGTTTCAATTCCAAGAAAGTCTTTATTGTGTTGCATTGTCACTGTTATCTGCGTGTATTTTGCGAGTATGATCCTAGCTCAAGCCTATTCTGAGCCGTATGCCGCAGCTTTTCGGTCTCCAGTTGCATGCGCATTGAGTCCAGACGATGGCATGATATCTGCTGATGCGTGCACACAGACCCCCGTCAGCACACGGGAAATTTAGAGGTGATGTTATGGTACCCACTGTGTAGATCAAATCCACACGTACATATGCTTGCAACACTGGCAGTACATTTTCATGACTATTCTTTTGCTATAAACACACACACGTGCGGGCGTGCGCGCGCGCGCACACACACACACACACACACACACACCTTTGACGCCAATCGCCGGAGGCAATGATGGCAATGCTACGGCAGAAGCCATAGCAACTTGTGCTGGAATTGCACCATTCAACAGCTTGCAAGGCTGAAGAATTGACCGTCACAATTCAGCCTGGTCTACACCATACAGCTACACACACACACACACACACACACACACACACACACACACACACACACACGTGCAAGCACCTGGCTGACTACAAATAGTGACAGCTTATGATTGCTTTGCCGTTTGTCCATTATGCAGGTGTTCCACCGGACTCCTTGGCCAAGTTTTCCGAACATCAGCCATATGTATTGTCGGTATGCTGCGTAACGGTGCGAGCTGCTTTGGGGAACAAGGGAGTAGATCTTCCTGCTGTTAGTCTCACATGTCAACGTACATTTCAGTGCAACAGCAGCACACTACAACAACAAATTTTTGAAGAAGTATACAAGCCAATATCCTGGTTATATTTTTGCACCATGGAACAGTATTTTTAAAATTTTGATGAGAAAATACAGTTCTCCGATGCAAAATCGACGACAATATTACACTATTAGCACGTACCGGTTTCCAAACTCAGATGGCTTCGATCCGGCCTGCTGATGGATCTTGCCCAAATAGCCACGCAGTACAATGTACAGTGCGTGCTGGTTGCTGCAGCCTTCCTCGAACTGTGAGGTGCAAGTAATGCAGCCAGACTCAGTAACCAATCCGCGGCTGCCGATTCCGGAACATCTTTGCAGCAAATGCAGTCGTTCCGCAATAATTGAACGACGCATTTGCCACATTCATAGCAGGACGTATTGCCAACGCGATCGGCAGGTGGCCAGCAGTCCTCTAAGCAAGCAGCAGGGTCAGTGTCGGCAGCAGCCGCTGCAGTTTCGTCAGCATTTACACCAACTTGCTCCGCACTCGCCATCTGCATGATCTCATCCTCGGTATACTCCGGTTCCTTCGCTGGCGTCCAACTCGCTCTCCTCGGAGTCACTGTCATCTCCTGACAAGGAGGTAGACCTACCCTGAATCGTCTCCGCTCTGAGCCTCATACTGCTTGACTTTCCGCATTGCCATTGGACATTCACGACTTCACTTTCCAAGTTCTCCGTCCAACTCCAAGTAAAAGTTCCGAGCTCCAGGAGCTCCTCTATCTCTTTGACGTCACAGATTCGTGACGCCATGGCGGCGCCAAAAACCGGGGATCAAAGTGATATTTCAGTTGCGTATATCTCCGGTTATAGTCACCGGATGGAGACGAGACATACACCAATCGACTCAGCTGATTTTTCCCAATAACATATCTGATTTTGATTTTAGGGTGAACTTCCCCTTTAACGGGTTATGGACTCTTGGTACTACACTGTACAGCTGTAGTACTAAAATTATAGTGATCACCCCAAATCAAGACTTTTTTATTTTCCGTGGCGGGAAATCGAGCTTTTCCAGGTATCTACAGCCTGTAGTCTATTCAACGCTGAGAATTTCCAACTAAAGTCCGGCTTTGCCTTTGGTCCTCTGCATGCCACCGCGCGACCTATCCTTTGAAGGAGAATGCTGAAACCAGTTGAGTTGGTTGCTCTTCAGGACAGTAGTTCTTTCTCTATCGTATACATATTTTTGTATGTCGACACATGCCGTATGCGACGACGTAGACACTTCTCAACACTTGAGTGACTTGAATTTGGGCCAACCATGTTGACCGAATGTCATTGGACCGTGGAGTCGAGTAGAGGGCTCAGGCTCGATCGGCACAACGGGTACGTATAGAACAAGGGTAGGGCTAATGTCGTAATGATATATCAAGTTGTTTGCTGTGCACAACCTTGGGGCGGAATTTGGCACGAAATTCTCTGCTCGCCAACTGTTGAGTATACCATGCAATACGTAGGTTTAAACTCATGTTACAGCGCTATCAGTATCACGGTTGCAACCCTCTTTCAAATGGTGACATAGCCGGCCAACAACCACATAATCCGTATCAAATCTTGCCCCTTGTTTTCTTTCTAAGTGTGAAAAATAGAAATGGCACCAGTCCTAATCATTGGAAAATGCAAATCACGGTCTATTATCGTCACATCGTAGTGCCATGCAGCCTGGTAGTGCATTTGGAGCAGGAACGTGAATGGTAGCTGCGGTGGTGAACACATGAGCTGGTGACAACCATCGTCGTCTTGTTGGTTTGTGTTGTCTCCAGTTCATTGCAGGTTGAGTGAGGAATGAACGTCTACTCTTTCTTTCCCAAACTGGCTGGGCACACGCCAATGAGACGGAAGCTAGTGCCAAACCAGTCCTTGGAAGTTTTGTTGTGCTGCTGGACTTTCAATCATCATGTAAAGTATATTCCGGTTTCTGAGTCTTCGTGTGAACCTGAAGAGCTACACTGTGTAGAGATGTTGGAAGTTTATCCTGATCACGACACTGCACCAAGTACAAGCACTTCCTCGGCACTGCCTGAGCCCTGTTCTCTGTTTCCTGTGACCAGGAGAAGCAACTAGAAATTTGGAGCTTGACCTGGAACGCTGGTGCTCTCTCTCTCTCTCTCTCTCTCTCTCTCTCTCTCTCTCTCTCTCTCTCTCTCTCTCTCTCTCTCTCTCTCTCTCCTCTCTCTCTCTCTCCCTCTCTCTCCCTCTCTCTCTCTCTCTCTCTCTCTCTCTCTCTCTCTCTCTCTCTCTCTCTCTCTCTCTCTCTCTCCGTCACGTTCTGCCACTGTCCGAAACCGGTGCATGTGCTAGCATGTCGAAGCGCATTGTGTCTGAGTCACGCACTCTCCTGCTCCTCCCTCATATGCCCAAGACAGTATGACCAACTGTGAATACAGTTCATGCCCACATGTGAACTTGTGTGATTCTCTTGTAGTAAGCTGCCACATGTGTACTTGCACGTGTTGTGCACATGTGTGTGTGCACGCGCGCGCGCGTGTGTGTGTATCTATGGGACTGCGTTCTCCTATTCTCTCTCCGTTGCCCCTCCGAGGCCCACGCAACCCTTGTGGCAGTGGCTCGACAGCACAGGGCAGGTGTGTGTGCGCGCGCGTGCATGTGTGTATGTGGGTGGGTGCGCGCGCGTGTGCATGCGCATGTGTGGGTGTGCGCGCGTGCATGCAGATGTGTGGGTGTGGGTGTGTGCGCACGCTGATGCTCAGCTCTAAAGAATTATGTCCGTGTGCGTAGCCAGTGTATGGTGGCAACATAGCCTTCCTTCATGTATATGTGTATGCGCATACTATTTGGGATGCTTTTCTGTTTTTGGTTGGATCCAGTTACATAGTCTTCTGTTCAATTATTTTTGTTTATACAGCTGCTGTATTTGTGGTGCAATTTTATGTCTTTCTGCTGGTCAATTTGTCGTCTTGATGGTGTACTAATGCTGATATACATAGAAAATATTACCCTCAGAAAGTGTGCTCGTTGTGAAGTTGTCCTTCTTTGGGCTCAAACCATTGCTCGTGTATAGGTAGATACATATCAGTGGGTTCGATTGGTGGCGAGAGGTCAGCCTAAATTGTTTGGGGCGGAATTCGGCACGAAATCCACGCTGAGTACTTTTTGACGACGAGTTGCGTCGGTCTTGAAAACTCTGGCGAGAAAGCGAGGAAAATGATGTCGCTTGGAGCTTTCCGCGAAACTTAGGGCAGCTAATGCCCGCACCTTCCCAAACATTGCCTCGGAACAAGACGATACCACCAGGGAAGCTCTTGTGAGCAAGGGATAAAATAGTCTCTTTTTGGCGATATTGAGCTGAGTTTCAAATTTCCCGGGCCTGGTGTCGGATTTGGAAAATAAAAGTGCAACTTTTAGGGCTCTTTTCGGTGCTGGCGCTTCGCGCCTGTGCATGCATGCATGCTGTGCTAGCGCGAGCGCATATATAGCATGCACGCTCCGACTCCGCAATGCAATGCGATCATTCCTTGGGAAAAAAAATCACTTCGGTGCATGGTCGTTTGTCTCCAAGATTTTGCTGAAGAAAGATGGAGCCAGTAACTAGAGTTTCAAAGCCGTAGCTCGTTTCAAGTCGCCTAGATTTGTCTACGCTCTGCTGGATTCCATCACTCAACAGGGCCTAGGGCCAGTACGGCAGTAGGGGACTGAGCTGAGAGTCACTGTCTTCCTTTGTGGATATAAAATTAATAGCTTACAGGTATTTTTTGTGAAGCCAGAGTTCAAATATTCTATTGTAGCGACCTGGCGAAGATGATGGAGGATGCTCAGGCTTCTTCTGGGCCAATTCCGGACGGTTACTACTGCGTTGAGCTAAATAAAACAGCCTGGATAGTACCTGTGCGGTATCAACAGCTCAATCCTCTCGGCTCCGGCGCTTACGGTCAAGTTGTGTACGGAAATCTCGATTGTTTCTTTTCCTGTCGAGTGCACTGCCCTGATGGCCGCATATGTGTGTACGGTATATTGTATTTGTGTTGATGGCCTTCAGCTCAGCACATGACGCAACATTGAAAAGGCCCGTGGCGATAAAGAAACTGGCGAGGCCCTTCCAGACACATGTCCATGCGAAGAGGACATACCGGGAACTTCGCCTGTTGACCCACATGAGGCACGAAAACGTGAGCGAATTTGCTTTCGAAGTGGTCTTGTACGATAGGTGAACAGTGTAATGTGTACATAACCCCTTTGCTGTGCAATGCATGTACCGGTAATTCGAACCCCAAAATGCCAGGGAAAAACTTTCTAATTATTCGGACATTCTACTTATCCAAACACTTATCCAAACATGTACCCTGAACACATCATGTGTGCCAAACCGCTCGCATTGTCACGCAGAGTTGCGCTATGCACCTTACATTACAGAAGTGCCGCACAACGTAATTACCGTATTTCCCCGATTATATGTCGCACCTTTTTACACTAAAATTCAGGGTAAAAAAAGGGGGTGCAACTTACAATCGAGCATGCCTTACTACTGAAGTGAATATATCGCAACAATATTGCTCAAACCTGAAAATGAGGGTGCGACTTATAATCGGGGAAATACGGTACGTTGGTAAAAACACGTAATCAGACTCGGGTGGAGAGCCAAGAATTAATTTATAAGAAGAAAAGAGGACCAACGAGCTACAAGTTACGCTACATTATCCACTAACACCACCAGTTACTTTACAATCAGCTCATGTGAGAACATTTCACGACACTGACCAACGGTACTGACGTTCTACACCTAAGTGGCAAACAGCTCTAGCACATCTCGGATGCGCAGTCCAACAGCCTTCCAGCTTGGAAGGTTCTAAGTTAGGCTGTCATCACACCATGGTACAAAGCGCTGCGTCTACGTCCACGTAAGGAGTTTTTGGTCGGTTGTCATGATGATCCGTATACTGGGTGAAAACGGGAGCAGGAAACGGGAGACATAGACGTGGTATGGAGAGGGGGCTATACGACTTTTCGTATGAACATGCGTGTCTCCCCCAGCCTTTTTCAGAGCGACCCTGCACTTCGATGTACGTGCGTTCAAATTTCTCCAAAAACCTGACTGCGTGTGCGCGTCAAGAACTGTGCCTGTCTAATGACACGACCACCCGTTTTAGTTTTTTCACCATAGACGTAGACGTAAACGGGAGTCGGAGAACGTAGTGTGATGACAGCCTTATAGAAATAGCATAGAAATAACATAAGGATTCGATCTTCGAATCTTTAGAGCCATACCAGTTGTGTGGTATGTCGCTTTGCGTCCTTGATTTGTGCTTTGACCGTTTTGTCTGGTCTTGCCAGTATCATCCTGGACATACATGTACATCCGCCAACGTCCTTTACAGCTGAGACTTTCAGCTCGTGCTTGTCTTGGTTGCACTCACCTTCCCCTCCTTATGTTATTTCTATAACTTAACCCTTCGTGTACGGACTGTACAACTTTCGATCCCCTGGGATCGAAACTTTTCAAAATTTCAATCGATCGTAACTCAGTCGTTCCTGGGTTATATCCGAAAACTAAAATATGTAGGTCAAAGGGAAAACTCCCAGCTGTCCATTGAAACAATCGCTGAAGCGCTCCGATGTGTGGTTCCAGTTACGAAGCTCGAAAGTCGAATTGCGGCAAATGTCGCCCAATAGCTGCTCGCGCAAATTTGAATGAGGGATTTCCCCATCATTCTGGGCATGCAGTGACGTAGAAACACGTTCAAAATGGTAAACGGACTCATGGCAGTTTGTGAATTTTTTTGAAGTAACAGTTAGTTGTTACGAGCAAGGAGAGCGAAATGGCTGATGCAAGACGACTTCTGTCGGAATATTGGCGTTGCAGCTAAGACGCTGGGCTGTAGCGCTGGCGTTTTGACCTTCGTGATGGCAAGCGTGGGCTCAATGTGTTCCTCTTGCGACGAGCTTTCCAGGAAGCCCAAGATTGAAAATATCGTCAAAAGGAGACTAAAGTTATGACCCAGATAATTATAGAATTTGAGGTGAGTCGAGATCAAATTCAGTCTGTGTACAATTTTTTTCAGTACATAAAGGGTTAAACCTTTACAAGCTGGCTGTTGGAGTGCGCATCCGAGATGTACTATAGCTGTTTGCCACTTAGGTGTATAACGTCAGTACCGTTGGTCAGTGTCGTGCTATGTTATCGCATGAGCTGATTGTAAAGTAACTGGTGGTGTTAGTGGATATTAATCGTATTATAGCGTAACTTGTAGCTCTTTGGTCCTCTTTTCTTCTTATAAAAACATATCGATATACGGAAAGTCTTACGCACACCACTGGTATACACTGCACGCGGATCCCTGTTCCTCCATACGTACTTTTCGAATGACGTACGGGGTTCTAGCCAAGGGGGAGGGGGCTGTGCACAGCCCCCCTCCCCCTACTCATTTTCTCCGATTTTTGTGTTTTTTCATGCCATTCAACGAAAATGCTGTCAATAGTTAGTACTAGAGGGTTCATAAAGGCACATTTGTCTGGGGTGAAGTCAGTTGTTCGCCCTGTACGTTGCATTTCGCATTGCAAGACAGTTATTTTGAAAATGGGTTACGGGGCAACTGCCCCCCCCCCCCCCCCCCTACTATTTTGACCTGGCAAGAACCCTGGCGGACCTGCCCTTGGCAACTCCAAACACAACAGTATACGACCTAGGGAGAGTCATAAATTTGTGCCCCAATCCCCTTGTGACTTGGATTGGATCAGTGACAATAGTATTGAAAGCGCTGCTCACCGCAGAAACGTCACGTCTGTGGTTATGGGTCAGTGCGCGGCACACTGCCTTCTTTATGTAACTTGCGTACATCACGCCCTGTACCCTTGTACCCGAATCCACCAGTTCTTACATCAACACACCCAGTTTTGCTCGATTCGTTCAAGTACAGCCGCGAACTGTAAATTTTGGGGGAATGACCTTCAGTTCGTACGAAAGTTGGTTTGAAACCAGGGAGTAGTAAAGTATGTTACTACTCCCTGTTTTAGCTAAAGGGAACGAGTGGTGCTTGATTTTCCTGCAGTGTGGTGATGGAGGTGCAGGATGCAGTAAAGTCAGTGCGCCGCCCATGTGGCCCATAGAATGGAGGTCACAGTTGCATACTCTTTGTTTATGAACTACTGGCCGTAAACAAAAACGTTCCCGCCTGGCCGAGTGAGCTGGCTTCGGTACGCATTCAGGGCGTATGTGATCCACTTCTAAATTGACTCCGCTGCCGAACTGGCAGGTTTCAAGCAGCATGCGTCTCGCCCTGTGCACGGCCAATAGTTTGTAGAATAGCAGTGTTTCAAGTATTGCCCGTACTATGGGGTCAATAACGCGTTTGCTACGTGCTTTCTATAACCGGTACACTGCTTAGGGATAAGGGCATTGTTCTCATTGATATTAGGTTTGCTATGTTTTGTTTGTGCTGTCCACTGGCACTGCAGGTGATTGGATTGTTGGATTGCTTTTCGACTAACTTGACTGATGAAGGCTTTAATGACCTGTAAGTCAGTTACAAAGTACTGTGAGACGTGGTTTAACCCGTTGGAGCCAATGCATTCAGCTATCCACGGTATTCCGTTGATGGATGAAAACGTTCGTATCTCACTCAATTTTTGATGGATTTCCACCATCGAAATACCTACGAAGAAGCCGAAGAGCTTTCTAATGCAACAATCGCCAAAGAGCTACGGTGTTGCGTTACACTTACAGAGATATTGCGCTCGACATTTCAGTCACGGCAAAAGTCGAACATTCTGCTAGGATAGCTAAAAGTATAGTCCGACTAATTTCAGGGCATTATCTGCCAACTCCTACCACCAGCTAGCTTTACACGAGCAGCGACCCACTTGTGTACCGAACACCATTTTCTTACCTGCACACAGAGATGAAAATTACAGTGCAAAGCCAGGGGCGTAGCAGCCGCTCCGGCTTTGGCCGGACCACTTTTTCGCCCGACCACGACCACCATAGTAAAACAATGCCAAAAGTGCCCAGAATGCAGGATTTTGCGCCCTAATTTCAAAAAAATTGCGGGGGACAGATCCCCGAACCCCCCCCCCCCCGGCCGGACCACCGCCAACGGCGGTGCTACGCGCCTGAAAGCCTATTGTCCAGTCTGCTCCTGTCTGGAGTGGACGCCTCTTTTAACCGGGCACCCTATCGGACAGGTGCCTGCCGCAGCCCAAATCTTGAAAATATCTTCCTTTCCGTTTCAGACAGCAGAGCTACTTTTACCACATGGCCAAGTTGTAGCTGTAGATGCACACTGTCTATGCTTGTGAGTGGTGTTGATGTTGGTTTAGTGACCCCATTTGCCATGGGTGCGTGCATGTGTGGGGGGGTGTCTGTGCATGTGGGTGTTTGTGCATGTGGGTGTTTGTGTGTGGGTGGGTGTGTTTGTGTGAAGAATGAAAAAACAAATGAAAAATATGGATTCACTGGCCAGAAAAAGTCATTTCAATCAGCTGTGTGGTGGATACCAGGCTAAAATTAGTGGCGGTCAATTCATCAGCCTTGCAAGCTGTTGAATGGTGTAATCCCAGGACAAGTTGCTATGTCTAACATAGCTGTTCGCTATCATCGCTTCCGCGATGGGCATGTCTGAGTCTGAGTTTGGGTGTGTGTGTGTGTGTGTGTGTGTGTGTGTGTGTGTGTGTGTGTGTGTGTGTGTGTGTGTGTGTGTGTGTGTGTGTGTGTGTGTGTGTGTGTGTGTGTGTGTGTGTGTGTGTGTGTGTGTGTGTGTGTGTGTGTGTGTGTGTGTGTGTGTGTATGTAGGTATTTGGTGACGGCTCTTATGGGTGCTGATCTGAACAACATCATCAAATGCCAAACCCTCAGCGACGATCACGTCCAGTTCCTAATGTACCAAATCTTGCGAGGCCTGAAGTATATTCACTCGGCGGGAATCGTCCACCGGGTGTGTATGTGTAAATTTACTTTCAGTGGCTGTACCTGTTTGTGGACAGCGTATAGATGCATGACCACTGTACTACTCTAAGAATTGGAACGCTTCCAATTTGTTCAACAAATTATCTATTACTGTAGCGTATAGCGTGTCCCCGTACGTTAGCGTATCCCCGTACATTTGCGTACGGAGTCTGCCTGTGTATAAAAGCTGCTGCTCACGATTCTTTTCATGCCAGTTATAGTTACATTTCAATTAGAGTTAGTTACCTTCATTTTAGTTCAGTTTTTAATTACTGTAAAAGCCATATATATAACGAAGTGCTAACTCTAACGAGTTAACGAGGAGAAATCTGTCGTTAAGATGGAAATCGATAAGAAATCGATACATATACTGTCCTATTGAGCGTTGAGAATGAGTGAGAATCGTTACCTTTGCTACACATAAACTAGTCAATTTTGGGAAATCGTTATATATGCGCCTCGTTAGAATAATGGCTTTTACAGTAACAACAGTGTGTTCACTGAGACCCTTGTATTTTTGCCTCCGAGAGACTGCGGCCCGCTACACTACTACTACCACTGGAATTATTGCAATAATGATTAGGGCGAGTGCAGTAGGATGTCAGGCAAAAGTTCACGTGCCTGCTTTGCTGTGCATGATGATGATGATGTAATTGTACTAGTGGTGAAACGAATATTCGAACATTCGTTCGGTTGGTCACATTCGAATATTCTTTAAGTCGCATTCGAGTATTCGTGACGTCACTTCAAACGCAGTGCATGTACATACATGCACGCCAAACACGGTACAGACAGTGCGTACAGCCTGCCTTTGACTTTGTACTGCATGTTTGCACATGTATGTGCATACTGGACTGCCAATGTTGCACATAACATGTATGAACTTCGAAGTAGCCTTATGTGGTGGTGCATGTTATGTGGCACTACCGTTTGTCATACCTAATGTATGTATGTATGTATTCATCAAATGACTGAGAGGAGGGCATGTGATGTAATCTGTGTCACCAAAAGAATATTCGTACGTTTGTTCGTTAAGCCAAAGAATATTCGGCTACTAGGTTTTGACATTCGTTTCACCACTAAATTGTACTTGTGATATCATACTTGTATGTGGAAGTTCTTGACAAAATTGCATTTGGCATTGTGTAGACAGTGTTGCCCTACTGACAGGACCAGTCCGTTTGTTCCGTCTTTTGTTGTTTGCAGGACCTAAAGCCATCCAATATAGCCGTGAATGAGGATTGCGAGTTGAAGGTAGGTGCAGTGTGCTCTGGAATGTACAGTGCTGGTGCTGGCCAGAGAAATACAACCTCATGAATAAAGTTGCGCCACGTTCGACTTCGAGTGCATAGAACAGTGTTTGTAGTGCTAGGTCTGCGTAGCGCCCGGCGCTATTTTATTCATGAGGTTGGATTTCTTTGGCCAGTACTATCGATATGTTTGCTGTACCCACTGTATGGCGGGGAGATTTCGCATGCGTTTAGGTGTATACGATTCCCTATACCACACCCTGTTTTCATTGGTTGAGGGAGTTGAAAAGTGGAAACGGAAAAAAATCAGAAGAAAATGTGAACTCTCGTTACCAGGACTCGAACCGGAGACGTTCGCTTTAGGCCAGCGATGCTGTAACCAATAAGCCTATGGTGTAGCCGCCATCCCAGCATATCCAGTCGATGCGCCAAATTTGAAAAATCACTTCGGAACACAGAGTTCTATTTTTTAGATCACCCGTTTTGTGCACTTTTCTCAAGGCATTCTCAACATTTTATCGTTTGCATGTAGATACACTGCGTGGCAGTCTCACGTTTTCTCTGAGTTGTCTCGCTCAAGGATTCAGTCGTCGCCTTTCACCTTTTTCTGTTTTGAGCTCTTCAAGAACGATTAAATTCTGTAGTTTGGCGTCTCTAGACTCCGGTTTGTCTCTTTTCCTTTTTTCGTCGAAATTTCGTCTTCCGACGTATAATTTCGTGCCACCAAATTAACCAGGCATTTCGCTACTTCTATGCTGGACATATCGAAAGAGTAAGTCTTTGTGACATTGGAGCGGAAGTTATGTTCCTGCCGAAAAATGTGGCCCAGAAAACAGCATTTGTTCCAACGTGCCATCTGACAAGCGGTGCACACGTGGATCAGTGCTGTTGGAATGCATTTGTTGGAAATGTGTCAAGGCACTATGATGCCAAGTAACCACAGCAGTGAAAGAAAATAATCCATCAGTCAGCAAAACTACATGCACCGTACATGATTGCAGCACAGCAGCCTCAGCACACTGCCCTGCGGACAAACTGCATGTACATAATTTGAAAGAAATCATACCAGAACACAGGTAGAAGGCACCAAACTTCCAGCTTACAGAGCATGTGTTGCGTAGAACGCATGACATCAGAAGTTCAGAGGAGAGTCGATTTTGTAGAAACTGTTACCAGAAGCAAATCGAAATCGAAATACTCCGTGGCGATAGTGCACCAAGCACAGACCACCGCCTACGAAGCATCATCTCAAAAAACAGCATGGAAGGTGCCGAGAGTGATCTCCGTAATATAGCCATTGCCACTATAGCCCGTGAATTGTTAGACACAGGCACCATATTGTTGACGACAGTGCACGGTTTGTATACAGAGCCTTTGCACCCAACTGCTGACCACAAGCCAACGGCGTACGTGCTTGGCGAATTTAAGTCGACCCTGCAGCACCATTTGCACGTCGTTCCACCCGAGCCACGGAAGAATGGTACGTTGCTGGCTTGCTGCTACGCAATGGATGTAATGCTGAGCAGGCACTACATTATGATCCTTTCTGCAGAGTGGAAAAACAAAAAAGAGCAAAAACCAACAAAGCTGGAAGACCTCACTCTGCCATGCTCACAGCACAATAGGTAAGCACCAAATGCAACAACAGACATAATTGCTGCCATCATAAATGGGAGGCTTCGGGCGCAGGCAGCTGAGTTCGAATTCAGAGAGTGTGACATCAATATCCTTTCTGACATGAACATGGAAAGTGTCATCAAGGAGATTGACCCACAGTTATGGCAGCAAAGTGTATGGACCCTTGTGTATGGACAAGACAGTGCAGAGGACCAGGACTGTCCTGCATCATCTCCCAATCAGCACTAGGGGTAGCCCAATTTCGCTAGCAATTCTGCATATTCATTATTTCACGCATGATGCACTGCATGCTTCCATCATCACGGGTGTTTGCAGTGCATGAACTCTGGCCAGTCGTCCCCGTACGCATTTGGATTTACCGTACATTTCCTCGTGTTTTGGCCGAATCTGAGCGGTACGACACTGTCGAATTGGGCCTGAATTTGCCCTGAACCAGCCGTTATCGAAGTAAAATTAGGTGTTTTGAAGGCCACACGGGAACACTGCGGCCATGTCTTCTTTCCTGCGTCGTTTGTTTGAAAATCGGAGTGTTTTTGAGCTCGTAGTTTCGTCTTCGTTGTGGAATGGCCGTGCGTACAATCTCCTTGGAATTACCAAAGTCACACCCCCGTTTCTTACATTACTAGGAGTTTTGCCGGCAGCCACGATAGTTTTTATCCCTGCTTCCATACGTCCTTTCATTGAACAGCCAAACGAAACTTTGTGGCGCGCCTTAGTTTTTTGTGGCGCGGGGGTCTCAAGTTTGTCACTTCGAGTTGTACACAACAATCACATCAACACCTCATAGGACCAGAAAACCAAGTGAGCAAAGTATTTCAACCTTGCGATTCTGCCTGGCCTACTGTGAAGATGGAGACTTCTACTCGGTAGCAGATACTCATATCAATAAGCTGGGAGGGAGAGCGTGGCGAGTAAAATGTTCGAATGAAAAGAGCCACATTCTCTCTCGGAAAAGGTCGTCGCTCCTACACTGGCTACACACTTGCTCTACCCAGCTCTGCAGAAGGCTAGATTTTCAATGCACGTGCGAGATTCGCATCCGCCGCGCACATAGGCAGAGTCGAAATTTTTGTACTCCCGGATTTGCCGGCATCTTGACGAGCGGCCACTGCGAAACACCTGTGATCATGCGCATCCCCCTGCAGTTGGCATTGGCTGATTTCGTGGATGCAACAGCAAGTCAAGAGAGCTGATGAAGGCATTGTCTTAAGTCGGTGCTGTGCTCGGGTAGACACATATATTCCAGGGCCGTTGGAGTGTGTGGGGGGGGGGGGGGGTATTTGCCAGTACCCATGACGAGCGTCGAGTGTGGTGAAGAAACGGGCTTTACCAATAGCTGTCACGGCGTCACGCGGAGTGCGAGCTGGGTGTGTTGGTCGGCTGACTTGGTCGTTGAGGTTACGCAAGTCAACGGTCAGGCGCTTCTCATTGGAAGACTTCTTGTCTGCGATGACGATTGGGTGGCACTAGTCTGACGGTTCAGTGACTGGCTCAATAATTCCATTGATCACCATATCGTCCAGTTGAGATTTTATCTGATCTCGGAATGCGAATGGGATTGCGCGGGCACCATTAACACGGGTTGGTGCGGCGATTGAATTGAAGCTTTATCTCCATGGGAGGACCAGCCATGGGCTTCAACTGGGAATCGTCGAATACATCAGCAAACTCTTGCATCAGCTGAGCTTTAACATCAGCAATGTCTGCACTACAGGGTTCAGACTTCACACGGGAAATCCGCGGCCAGGACTCAGGGAGAATGCCAAGGGCACGGAGAGATTGGCATGACAGCAGCGCCTCGTCGAGGTCTTCATACACATGAAGTACCGTGGTCTGCTGGGCTGAGCCAAGGGAGAGAGTGGCAGAAATCTTTCCAAGGCTAACCAGAGAGGTGCCGTTTGCTGCTGAGACGGTGTCAGAATCGACGGCAAGGTTCTCAGGGAAACCACCTAGCTGGGAAAGGTGTGCTTGCCCAATGGTGTCAACATCGCTGCCGGTGTCTGGAATCCATGACATGGCTTCGGTGGTCGGTTCTGTGTTTAGCTGCGTGTGGACACTGAGTTCAAGACCATGTCGAACAGCGGCACGTTGCAACTTCAATTGGCCGACTTTGCCGGATGCTGTGGGTTTGCCTTTGTGCGGGCACATGGACTGGAAATGTCCGACACGTTGACATCCATTACGTTTGCGTGACTGGGCAGGGCATGTGCTCAGGGTGTGTGGACTGCGACCACAGCTAAGACACTTGTCAGCTACGGGTGCAGAACTGCTGGGTTGGTTGGCATCCATCCTTTCCATGAGGGTCTGGAACTGCAAGTCTAGTTGTGCAGACGCCTGTGCCTGAGTTGTCAGGAGCTGCAGGAGCGTGGCGATATCAGGCACTCCATTTCCAGAAGGTGCTGCGGGATCGCTGCTAGCCATGCTGAACACAAATGCTCGTTGTGACAGCTTACACGACTACGTCTACGAAAGAAACTGAACAAAACTCCTATCTAAAACGAACTAACAAACCAACTGCAGGGTAATCCAATCCAACGGAGTGCTACACTGCTACTAGGCCAGGTAAGACACTACAAACTAGGTTGGTGTGGACGGAATGGAAACTACAGGACGAAATGTTCACTGCGCCATGTGGTGTCAGATAGAGTTTATTCACAACTAGCAAGGAGGACAACAAACGAAGAACAACATTCCAAAGCAGTGTGCGAACACAAAAGGAAAGTGTGTACGAGCGCATATGGAAGCAGGAGCTCTAGGCGCGTGCATACGGGGTGCGGGAGTTGCACCATAATACGGAAGTATGCCATATACATCAGGTACGACTGGTACGACCATGGCCGTACCACTTCTGGCGACCGGTGGTCACCGTGAAACGCTCAGAAAAGCAATAAAAAAGTTTCGAAAGTTGGAGATATTATCAGCGTCGATCAGCGTGTCGTACCTGTACCCCTAGACCCTGTACCCTACAGGCTACACTGTTGTGTGGCGATCGCTTCAACCGGTATATACAATGTTCAAGATATGCATCAGGGGTATTTTCTATCACATGGAATCCCAAATTTTTCTAACACACTGGTTCTGCCCCCTTGACCCCCGCTGGGGGACAACTCCCGGGCCCCTAGCCGTACCACTCGCCAACAGCCTCCAACGGCCCTGTAAGCGCTACCAGCAAACAGTAACTGCAAAGAACAAGGAATCAGAGTGTTACGCCAATGCCATTGACAGGCTCACTGCCAATGGATGCACATCATCGTGAACCTCATCAGGGCTTTTTCTGTGTAGCACAGTCTAGCTCTGCAGAGCCACCAGCCAAACGCTCAAGAATGCGGACTGGCACAGAGCAGCGTCCATTACGTCAAAGCATGACAGACACAGTTCACTTAGCTCACCTCAAAGCTGTTGACCCTAGCACCAGTGATGCTGAGACGGCGTTAGCAGAGAATTCATTCAGGACCACTGAAGCATTGCCAGTTCAATGGCATGTCCAGTCTGTCTGTAGAGACTACGAACATAACAGCCAGTACAAGCACAAATGAGAACATGTCAGATGAAGCCGGCACCTCATCAACACCTAGCTGCAGCAATGCCTCCGGATCGCATCCTGCCCCAAGCGCATTCAGTAGTACAGCTGCATGTGTGTGGGTGGGTGTGTGGGTGTGTGTGTGTGTACATTACATATTGCCCTATCAAAACATTTAAAATATACTCGGATGGTGAGCCAAAAAATGGATAAAAGAAAAAGGGCAAAATGTTACGAGTTATGACTAACTGTCCACCATGTACAAGTGTAACCAGATTATACAGTCAGCGAGTGCGACAAAAAGGCACAACTGACTGGGAGTACTGAGACATTCAACGACCAAACAATATTCAAGTTAATTTTGACTTGGCAAGCAACTGTCTACCGTAGTGACGCGCATATAACTTATAAGCGCATGTGCCTATACCCGGGCATAAGCGCACCCTCACTAATAAGCGCATGGGCTTATAAGTGAATCTGAATGCTATTCCATCCGCGACACACAGACACCACAAAAACACCATGTTCACATAGTTCAATGTGCATTGCGGTATTGCACTATGTGCATAGTTATGCAAGGTACCGGTGCGCTAGCAACTCAAGCGCATGCGCCTATGTGCGAGACAAAACGACCTGCGAAAAATTGCAAATAACGCAAAAACTTACTCATAAGCGCATGTGCCTTTATGTGCGTCACTAAGGTATAATCTCGTGCCATCGGATTAACCAAGTATGCAGAGAAAGGAAAGGTATACAATCTTAGACATAATATTATATTATTAGGTAATCTATTCAAAAGGAAAATGGACCAAGGAACTACAAGTTAGGCTATAATGTCCACTAACAAGGGGTGAAACAATTATACCGAATACTCGAGTACTCGCTCGGGTTTTTTCAGAAATAATCGTACTCGGAATAAATCAGAGTACTCATTCATACATGGTACATGCATTTACCACAGAAATCTGCAGTTTCAGAGCAGCAGTCGGCAGATATTGATGTGCAGACTGTGTGGTGAACATTTGTTCACGAGTAGAGAGAGCCCAAATGACCCACCAACCAATATACCGGAGAAAAATGACTGCCACTCGGTTCAATCAGGGTTGTATCATGTGACTTTAAGGCCCTCGGTGTGCAATTTGTAGGGGATGAAGAATCCTCGAATATTCGATCGGAGAAAATCAGAGTACTCGAACTCGGGATCTCAATGCCAACTTTCACCCCTACCACTAACACCACCAGTTAATAAACAATTAGCTCATGCGATACCATTGCACGACACTGACCAACGGTACTGACGTTCTACAACTAACTGGCTAACAGCAAGAGTACATAACCAAGAGTGTGCAACTCGACGATCCCCCAGCCCATCAATCGGATCAACGGTACTTTACGGTATACAAAACCGTTGCTATACATATTATGTAGAGCAACGGTTTTGTATTGGTGCGTGGATTTTGGGAGCAAGGAACTCTTGCGATATCAGACATGATGATATTGGTGTGTGTGTGTGTGGGTGTGTGTGCGCGCGCACGCGTGCATGTGTGTGTGTGTGTGTGTGTGTGTGCTTTGCGTGGCCCTCTTCTTCTATAGATCCTTGATTTCGGCCTGGCTCGTCAGACGGACTTGGAAATGACCGGATACGTTGCAACAAGATGGTACAGGGCACCAGAAATTATGCTGAACTGGATGCACTATACGGAAGGAGGTTAGTTCTGCGTAAGCGATGTGTCGTTTGGAAGATGTCTGTATACCGTAAGGGATTGAACAATTCACGGGACCACTGGCCGAATTTTCTCACTTATACAACGTTTGTATTTCAGAGATGTGGGTTGAGAAGGAGGCGTGTACCTGTTGAGTGAGTGGCTGAACTCATTTGCTGCTGGTGCTGCAAGTTGTGATGATGTTTTCCCTGAAACTTATCTTTGTATGTGTGTTGTTGTTGTTGTTGTGTATGTGTGTGTGTGTGTGCGCGTGCATACGCATGTGCTTGTGTTGTTACCTCAGTTGACATTTGGTCTGCCGGCTGTATCATGGCAGAATTGCTGACTTGCCGCACTGTGTTTCCTGGATCAGACCGTATCCTCACCATTGTATTGTGCTGTTCATGGTGTAGAATATTATACTTGCAACATTCAGTTGCAGTGTGATCTAGCCTTTGGTTAGACAAGATTATAGAGTAGACGATGGGTGATTTCTGTGGATTACAGCAGTGATGAAGCTGTCTGCTTGGTTGCTTTTTGATTATGTCCTGACATCATTCATGTGCAGTCAACGTTGCGAGTAACGACGATTCGTCAGTAACAACAGACATGTGACCTCAGGAATCCTAGCGTCCTTGCCAGTCAATTGTTTTCATGGCCAACCGATAACACGTGGCAGTAGTTGGTCGTGTCGTTGGCAGTTGCTGCCTGCAACAATTTGGCCTGCACACTGTCCTGCATATACTCTTCCTTTTAGACTAGTTGAATGAGACTACAATGTAGTATCACAAACAGTGTTGCAGTGTCTCAGTGTCGCACAGTTCCTGTTTACAGTTCCTGTGTGTTGATGGTCTTGACAGGTATGCTGCTCTTTGAATGCCAGTGGCTGGTTTGAGGTCTTTGCACCATCTTTACAAGCACGTCCTGCGTTTGCACTATACTACAGTCCATTCATTGGAAACTGGCACCCTAACTTTTTGGTGTCTCTCTCACATAGTTGTAGATATCGTGAAAACAACAGTACATCCTGCATTGTGTGACCCGTGCAATTACTTCTTGCCACATTTGAGGCCAGAAAAGTCCAAGAACAGGGAAATAGAAATTCAGCCAGGTTTTACATAATTAGGACAGGTATGCCATGGCGAAATGTATGGAGAAGCAGATCCAAAACCCAGATTTTTGAGATTTAAAGTGGGTTTTTGATCCTCAATTCGGCCCAAATCCGACTTGCAAAAGCCAGCGGGCCAGTTTCCGAAGAATAGACTGTAGTGACTTTACTCCCTCGCACCCAGACGCTGATTTTTTGGAAACAAGTGTCTATACTTCCGATGGGAGAATCCGACATGGTAGTGCATTTCGGCGTGGCCAGGTCAAATTGTAGAATATCGCATTAAGTGAATTGCTTTATCTGAGAGAGGAGATGTTCGTGCCCTTGAGACCCGAAGTCCCGTTTCCATACGACAAAATTTAGGAGCTCTGCGCTCAGCGCTTTTTCAGGGTATGAATTTCGGGTTGTTCTGGTCGGGTCGTAGCGTCGCGGACTATTCCATCGTCTTCAGCGTCGAAAAACTACTGGCCATGTGAAATTTCAAGGCGGTGAGACGCTTTCGTCTTCCTCCAATGAGCGAATTTGTTCTGCGCCAGCATACCAAAGTATGCAATTTCGTACGCACAGTTCGAGTGACGAGGCGTGTGCACTGTACACTGCACTGCATTGCATGCACTGACTGTGCGGTCGTTCTTGATTCTCCCATCACTCCCATTCATTTCTGTTTCCAGCAAAAGTCCAACTTGGCGCACTTCAAATCACTATAACTCAAGAATGGCTGGGCCGATTTGAATAATACTTGCAGATTTCCTATGTACTACGCCTGGGAGAATCGAATGAGACCAAAATCGAAGCGATGGGAGCAAGTTTTGGAAATTGGGTGTAGTGACTGTAGTCACTACCTATACTCTACGTATTGTACTGCCTTGACTTCAGCTACTGTATGCTCGAACAGACATTGACCAGCTGACCAGAATCTTGCAGATTGTCGGTTCACCTCCCGATTCAATGTTGGAACAGATTGGAAGTGAGACTGTAAGTCTTCGGTGTGCCTGCACACTTATGAGGTTGCGTGAGCACGTGTTCCGCCGTGTGTGTGTGTGTGTGTGTGTGTGTGTGTGTGTGTGTGTGTGTGTGTGTGTGTGTGTGTGTGTGTGTGTGTGTGTGTGTGTGTGTGTGTGTGTGTGTGTGTGTAAATAGGCTGGGCAGCCAACGCTCAAGCTGCGTTTGCAAGTTCTTTTGGTTATCGCCCTGTCTAATGTTCTCCCGTTGTGAATACAGGTGGAATCCTGATAATTCGAATATGGCTTAATTCGAACATACCGCTTACCGTATTTTCCCCATTGAACGTACACGTCTCCAATACTAGTACGTCTCCAATTGTAGTACATGTTGAGTCTGGATCAAAAATATAAAAGGACACGTCTCTAATAATGGCAAGAGTACATAACCCCCCAAGAGTGTGCAACTCCCACATAACCTGCTGTCCCGACAGAATTTCAAGTTGACGTCATTATTTATGATGCAATGCTACTTGCACCAGTGATTTACAACATGTGTATGGGTGTCAAGCATCACACGTTCTTCTTTGCAATAATTTGTACAGCATCAGATGGCCTTTGGTCCACCACAGGTTACGGATTCGTCTGATAATCCGTGTACAGTGCGCATTGCATCGTAAAATGACGTCAACTTGAAATTCTGTTGGGACAGCACCCATAGTCGAGTTGCACACTCTTGGGGGGTTATGTTCTCTTGATAATAGTACATGCCGGTATGATGTGATGGGCATTACTGGGGTACAAGTAGATCTACAGTACCAGGGTTCACCTTACTTCGTTTTTCTTACCCGTTTATCATCAGGCTTTGTGTCTTTGTACACTGTTTCTTACCATGATTGGATGTATTTACAGCCTTACAGCATCATTATCACGAGTTGTTTGCCACCCAACCCAGCAATCAATCTTTCCAGAAACAATAAAAGTATACGTCTCCAATACTAGTACAGTCTCCTATAGTAGTACAGGTCTGACCACCTTTGAAAAAATAAAAGTACTGTACATTTATTGGGGAAAATATGGTAACTGGAAGTTACTTCCTGGACCGATTTCTATCAATACGATTCACACATAAGAATATCTAATAGTTCAAACCTCGAACTGGGCATGTCCGGTAATTAGAAGTCTCGCGGAATCCACTTACATAGAAATTGTGTGGATTTGTGCCGATAATTCGAAGTTAGCAAAGCGTAATTTGAAGTTCTCTTGTACATTGTTCAAGTCAGTTCAGTTGTGGGCACGTGTTTGGATACTTAGACATTTTTTCCTGGCATTTTAGGGTTCGAATTATCAGGATTCCACCTGTACCTGTACATCCCTGAATTGCTGAGCTCATGGCCGTTCCATCAGGCGTCTCATTTTGGAACTGGATGCTGCTTGACAGAGTTCCTTCAACTTTTGAAGAGTGGTATTTTGCATGTGAGATGCATGTTCAATTGTAGACGGCTGTGACCATTCTAAACCCTGCTACAGTAGATGGGGAGGAAATGCGAGACGTGCAGAACATGCCATCTTCTTTGATTACATGTCTTTAGTCTTTAGACTTCTTCCTGTGCCTTTCTGATGTGAAGATTGTGTGCATTTGCTACCCAGGCTAAGAACTTCATCCGGACCCTACCCAAATTTGCACGTCGCCCATTCAGTGAGATATTCATCGGCGCCAATCCTCTTGGTGAGTTTCATCTGGTTGGAGCTTTTGTTACTGCACTCCTGGTTTTATGATACTTTTATATGGGGTGGGAGGGGGGGGGGGGGGGGGCTGATAAATTTGGAAACATTCTGTACATCGGCGAAGTCTTGCACACTTGTGTTACTAGACAGCTTATGTGGCAATGCACATGTAGACGGCATGCCGCAATGGATAGTGCTCTCGTCGCTGCTCTTGGCATTCATGTATTTGTTGTTTAAAAATCAATCCCTCGCATTGGCTTGTTGTTCAGCGGTTGATCTTCTTGAGCGGATGTTGACTCTGGATGCGAATGGCCGAGTGACTGCTGTGACGGCTCTGGAGCACCCTTACTTCGTCAAGTACCATGATCCTAATGATGAGGTAAGTGCTTCGTAACTTGCTAATCCCTACCCCTTTTGTGTACGTGCTTTTCTTTTCTTTTTTTCTCTTCTTCCGTGGTTGGTCTCACCCTCTCCTCAATTCAATTGGCTGTCTTGACATGCTACGAGGTGCAGAAGTAAATAATAATAATAATAATAATAATAATCAACGCAATAAATAGAGTAAGCTGCGCACTCAGTACAAACACCATAAGCAAAACTTGTTTTCATGTAAATAAAGAAGCTTGTTCCTAAACGTTTTCGTCGCCATCTCATCAGAGGATTACTGGCAAATCAACAATAGCTCTTAACTCAATATATATACGCACAATGCAAGTAATAATTTAGACCCTAACTAGCGCGATAAAATGAGAGCTGAAAGAAACATTACACCATTCAACGATATCAGGTGACAACAGATGCGATAAATTCACCACTAGAAAGTTACCATGCAACCACAAACGAGAACTACTGATCTAAATTCACAAACAATTTCAACGTAAACAAATTCTTTTTCTGCCTACACAAAATCGGCTTAGTGGTAAAAATGTAGATAGACTCCAATACACGCAAATACCTTTGACTACGTGAACGAGACCAAACAGAAAAGCACTCATCAGCATAACTAGAACGACAATCACTATTCTGACCAAGATGGTTGGCAACAGAAGATTCTTACACCCTAACACCGCTACTAGAACCAGTACATACTTTGGAATTACGTGACAATGAAACCGACCTGACATTCCTTGCCGCTACTGCCAATCCAGACGAGGCCGATGTAGATGTCAGTACCAAAGGCACGTCCGTTACTGGCACTGCCTGCTGCGATGATGCTCCCTTTGACGTTCCAATGGCTGTTGATGTTGATGAAGAGGAGGAGGGAGATGAAGAAGACGCTGACGACGACGATGACGACAACGACGGAGACGATAAAGACTCTGCTAACCTCGCCCTAGAGCGAGTCACTGGTCCTGCAGACACACCATCCGGTGGTTTCTTCGGTGGCCGGCCACGCTTTTTGCCACCGGAGGTGGACACACCGGATGACGGTACCAAGGAAGTCAAAGAAGACGAAACCGCAGATACCAACGATGATGACGGGATAGAAGGAAGAGACGGTAAAGACGAAGGCAATGACGAACAAGCCGATGCCGGCGAAGAAGACAACGACACCCCAGTTGGTTCCGTCCCCAGCGAGGGTGCACCTCCAGTCGCAGTACCAATCTTTGGGGGACGACCTCGTCTAGGCCTTGACGACCGTGCCTCAACAGGCATAACGTGAAGAGGCACATGCTGGTGGATCCGTGCCTCCAGGTGCTGAAGGGTCCTACCCACATACCGGCTCTCACATTGCCGGCACTCGAAGTTGTAAATAAGATGTGATAATTTAAGAGTGGGTAGGACATCCTTCTTCACCATGAAGGCACGAGCTGTTGTGTAGACGAACCGGACACTAACATTACGAAAGTTCGATTCTACAGCTGACTTAACTCGACGTTGCATGGTACGGCAAACAGCTTCACCCTTCCAAGGCAAACGAAGATACACCGGAGTGGCCTCGGAGGACACTTCCTTCGCTCCACCCAGTGTACTAACTACGACATATTTAGATATCACATATTCCGGGTTCCCATTTAAACGAAACAAAGTGCGTAGCCGCTCCAGCTCCTCATCCAACTTTGAAGGCGAACATAATCGACGAGCACGATCCACTAGATTACGAACGAGATTAATTTTGTACGACCTCGCAGTAAACGAGTCCCAACGAGTCGTTGATAACATTTTTATCTCCACGGAAGCTTTTTAATAATAATAATAATAATAATAAATGTAGAAAAGAAAAAGGACATATGGAAACGAGTTAACCCTTTACCATCCGTGCGTACTTGAATCGATCTCTAGAGATCGATGGACATGCATACACTAAAACATTCGTAACTCGATCGATTCTTGTCGGAATTTAAACGAGAGAGCTTTGAAGCTCAGGGCCCTACGCTATGCTTTTATGCTTTTTTGCCTAGCTCATCGTGCATGTTATAAAGTGCATGTTATAAGAACTGATGGAATTGTCCTTTTCCGTTGATTGGCCACATCACTGTATTGCAAAAACGTTTCAATCGGTTTGAATATTATGAGTTAGGCAAAAGTATTTGCAGAATTTATTGCGGATTGTTATTTCTCTAATAATCATCTACTTTTGTTTTGCTCCTTCTTTAATTTTTATCTCCTTATATTGTAAATCAACAAATTTTGGCCGATGAGAAATAGAAACCTCTCGATTAGAGAGGTTAAGATGCACGTTATTTCCGACGTGACGCGCAGTTTCACGTCAAATTTGAAATCGATCGGTATTTTTGCTCTCACATGCATCCATTGCTCAATCATGCATCATTTGCCTATATGACAAGCGTTGGCCTGCGATTTACTTTGGCCGGTTGGTACCAAGCGGCGAAATCAGCGAAATTAAATCGCCAGCGAACATTAGTTGATTTTAATACAGGAATCGGATTTTCTGGCCTTTTTGTAGTAATACATGTACATTGACCTGTTGAGCCAATGACGACGCCGAATGCATGGTTGCCTGTGGAGCACATTACATAACTTTACAGTCTCCTAAAATACGTATCCTGTCCGACGGCAAAAGAGGCTGCAGATTTAGTTTTTCTGCGCGTCGACTGGATGTCTGCGACGCGAAAGTTCAGCTTGCGTTATTTGGCTCGCACGTCTAAAAAATCAACGCGAGTGACCTGCTGCTCACGTCGAAATTTGGACATTACATAACTTTACAGTCTCCTATATAAATACGTATCCTGTTCGACGGCAAAAGAGGCTGCAGATTTAGTTTTTCTGCGCGTCGACGGGATGTCTGTCCTGACGTTTCCTGGGACCGGCGCTGACTCTGCCGATCACGGGCGTTCTGGACTCGACGGGATGTCTGTCCTGACGTTTCCTGGGACCGGCTTAGACTCTGCCGATCACGGGCGTTCTGGACTCAACGGGATGTCTGTCCTGACGTTGCCTGGTACCGCCGGACTCTACCGATCACAGGCGTTCTGGAGTCGACGGGATCTCTCTTCCTACGTTTCCTGTGACCGGCACTGAATCGCTCGTTCACGCTTATTTTGGAGACGACGGGATCTCTCTTCCAAAGTATGTTTATGCTGACACATCCTATCACCTAATCGGCGTCTATTCTAATTTAATTTCCTCGTCTCCCTATTTCTTTCCAAATCCCCCTCTACATCAGGGAGTCGTATGCATAATACGACGAATATTGGTACGGTACGGGACAGATACAGGAGTCCGCAAATATTGTGGACAGCTGTTATGTACAATCCTGTAGAGCCTTTGTAGTCACAGATACGGGACAGATACGGGACAGATACGGGATAGCGTCAGGCGTGACACAAACAAACAAACACACACACAAATACCAAATTAAAGCTGTGTGGACCCTGGCTAGCGCCAGACGTTACTGAAGTAACGTCTTCTGCATAGCTACGGGAATAACTAAGTATCTAGGAAGAAGCCGAAGAGCTCAGCTTTCCATTGCATCATTCGGTGAAGAGCTGCAATGTCGCATTCCAAAGATATTCCGCTCGACATTTCGGCCACGCAAAAGTCGAATTTCTTTCCGAGTGACTGACCTTGAGCGGGGAATTTCCCCTCTCCTGACATGCTGAGTCACTTTTGCATGCTTTGAGTGCGTGGGCAGCATGAAAAGAAACTCAAGCAAAAAATTTGGATCGTTTACGATGAAGGAGCGAGAAATGGCTGGCGAGGAGAGAATTTCCTCGTATATCAAGCGATGGGGTGTATTTGAAGCTCCCTGGCAATGGATATGTGATCTTGGTAGTGTCCTGTTTGAGCTTAATGGACGCAGCGCGTGGAGAGCTTTCCAGAATGCCCAAGTTTGTGAAAATTGGTTGATTAGAACCGAAGATATTCTCAGAGTAAGGTGAAAATTATTGCATATGGGACTGCTGGGGAATTTTGGTCGAATGGTAAAGGGTTAAGAGTTTCGAATAATAATAATAATAATCTTCCCATTGCGCAATGACGTGACCGGGGACTCATCACTTTTGCGCGTGCCGAATTTTTTTTGTCTGCTTCGCAGCCTTTTCGGACCAAAACCAGTCGACTCAGCGTCCAAAAGACTACAACATATGGGCCAATCGCGGTCATCCGTGCTTTTATAAGAACGAAATGGCGCTTTTAGTGACATTTTGCATACAAATCCCCATCTAGTAGGGCGCAGTCACCCAGTTTCGGTGGAAGTGCGCGAGTTCGATTGGGATTCAAGTAGGAAGGGAGCGTCTCAGCTTTCTCGGACCAAGACCATTCGACTCAGCACCCCGAAGACTACAACTGGTGAAATTTTAATTTTTGCCTTATCTTCCCCATCAAGCCCCGGCAAGTCCTGACCGTTCACCTGCGGAAAGACATGTTTGCCAGACGGGACAAGGCGCAGAAGAAGAAGAAGAAGAAGAAGATACCGTTCTACGACCCACGACCTACAAACATGCGCTTACCCAACCCGCTTGGAGTTGCTCAGCTGACCAGTGCACTGCAGGCAATTGAGGACGACGGTTTAGCAGCTGACGATTCTGGCCGTGTGAAGATGTACGGAACTTCCACCTGGCTTCGCCTTCTCCAGCCCTCGCCTCTCCCTTCGGAAGCTAGTAGCAGTGAAAGTGATGGTGGCAGTGGTTCTGCTAGCTGCTCATCAGACGAGGAAGAGCCTGCTACTGCTACAACGGATCTGTCGTTGGTGCCATCAGACATTACCTCCACTGATGAATTTTACGCTGAGCATGTGTGTGTAACGTCTGAGGAAGCGAAGCAGATTGAGAAGAGTACCAGAGGTCAGTCGGCAACACCAATTTGGTTTGCAGAGCGCCGTGTGTGTGGTCCCCCAATGAAGTTTTCATTCAAAGGATTCGCCGAGATATTCTTTGCTTGAGAAGATAATTCCGGCTCTTGAGCAGTTTTATTTTA